GGAGAGGGAGAAAGGGATATAAAGAATATTTAAGGAAATAATGACTAAAACCTCCCCAAATTTGATGAAATCCATCGATCTACACATCCAAGAAGCTCAACAAACTCCAAGTAGGATAAACTCAAAGAGATCTACAGCTAGATACATCAAAATCAAACTGTTGAAAGCCAAAGACAAAGAATTTTGAGAGCAGCAAGAGAGAAGTAACTCATCACATACAAAAGGGCCTCAATAAGATTAACAGCTAATTTCTCATCAGAAACCATGGGGCCAGAAACAGTGGATGGTATATTCAAAGTAGCAAGGGGAAAATAACCCTGTCAACCAAAAGTTCAATATCTGACAAAACTATCTTTCAAAACTGAAAGATAAATCAAGACATTTTCATATAAACAAAACTGAGAGGGGTGGTCTTTAGCAGACCTTCCCTACAAGAAATACTGGTGAAGTGAAAGACACTAGATAGTAACTTGAATCAACATGAAGAAATAAAGAGCACTGGTAAAAGTAATTACATAATTAAATGTAGGAAATAGTATGAATCCATTTTTTTGTTTATAACTTCTTTTAAAATCTGATTTCAAAGAGAACTGCATAAAAGCAATAACAATAAATCTATGTTCATGGGAAGAAAATGTATAAAGATGTAATTTGTGACAATAACAACATACAGGAGAGGGGAATGGAACAATATAGGAGGAATGTTTTGTGTAGTATTGAAATTAGGTTGGTATTGATCCAAACTAGATTGTTATAAACTGAGATATTAAGGGTTACTTCCAGGGCACTAACCAAGAAAATAAGTTAAAAAATATATAATAAATGAAATAACAAGATAATTAAAATAGTACACTAGAAAATAACTTTAACACAAAAGAAGGCAGTAGTGGAGAAATAGAGAACAAAAAGACTTATGAAATATAGAAAAGAAACAGCAAAATGGCCGACATAAATCTTACTTTACCCAATATGTTAAATGTAAACAGAGTAAACTTTCCAATGAAAAGGCAGAGATTGGAAGAATATATTAAAAAATATGATCATACTATATGTTGTCTACGAGAGACTCAGTTTAGATTTAAAAGTATAAATAGGGAGAAAGTACAAGAATGGAAAATGTTATAGCAATAGCAACCAAAAGAGAGCTGGAGTTCCTCTACTAATATCAGACAAAATAAACTTTAAGACAAAAATTGTTACCAAAGGCAAGAAGGACACCTTATAATGATAAAGGGTCATTTCATAAAGAAGACATAACAATTATAAACATATATGAACCCACAGATAGAGTCCCAAAATACTTGAAGCAAACCACCTTTGGAGAAGGCAGCTCTGTCCTAAATAGTTGACCCCCATGACCACTAGGGATTTATTCCCTTGAGCTAGAGTTTTGCCTCCTTTAAAATTCTTTGTTAAAGTAGACATATAGACCTTAAACCACCATTTGCATTAATACCTTAGCTGAAATTGGTTTAAGATCCTTTGGGGCATTGACTGCTAGTGACAGAGACAAACGGTTGAGCTATTTTTGATAGAACATACAGGTGTGGCTTGAAATGGGCCTAGGGGGTAGAGTAGGGAAGAGGGGAGTCCAAGATTGGGTGGAAGTGTTAAGAACAGAGAAAGAGTACAGGATGGAGAGAGGTAGAAGAAAGCTAGTGTATCACAGAGGAACAGAAAAGAACCCAAACAGACTGTCAACTAAGATAAATGCTAGACAAGCAACAAAACAGCTGGGGCAGGGTGTCTGGGTGGCTCAGTCAGTTAAATCATCCAACTCTCAGTTTTGGCTCAGGTCGTGATCTCAGGTTGTGAGACCGAGCCCCGCATCAAGCTACACGCTCAGTGTGGAGTCTGCTTGAGTTTCTCTCTCCCTCTCCCTCTGCCCCTCCACCCTGTACATGTTCTCTCTCTCTCTCTCTCAAATAAATAAATAAATCTTAAAAACAAACAAACAAAAACCCATAAAAACAACCAGGTCTTTGGTTTGGTGTTGAAGCCCCTGGTTTGGCAACTCAGGGCTGAGGGCAGCAGCAGATGCCAGAAGCAGCACAAGGAGTCGGAATAGGGAAGAAAATGTGGGGCCAAGGATGGTAATGAGCACAGATCATTCTTAGGTAAACACCCTGGTACCAGGGCTCAGCTGCTGTCTGCATCCTGGAGAACCACACTCAGAGAGGCAGAGTGGATTATGTGGATTATGTGGAAGCAGACCATAGATACTATAAAATATGGGTACTGATTGGAAAACAAGGGAAACCCACAGGAACAAAGGAGAACAGGGCCAAGAGGCAATGATGAAAACAAGCCCATATGCCAGGCAAATGGGCTCAGCAACTGGGTACTCAAATGAGGTAGTGTTTGTGAGAGCACCCACTTACGGGGAGATGCTTAGTAAGTGTTAGCTGGTTCTCAATCTGAAATTAGGACAAGGCTAGTGGTCTGGGCAGTGACTCAGTGTTGACAACAATGATAGCCCCTACCTGTTAGCACCTATGTGTGCTGGGCATTGTGCTAAGTATTTCACATTCATTGCCTCATTTAATACTTAAAGTGTCCGTGTGAGGTAGACACTGAAACCTCTGATCTACAGATGAACAGGAAACCTGGCCAGGTGACTTACTCAAGATCACTGCAGCAATGTAAATGGTTTGGAGCCAGAGGTTTCTCTGACAGCACTCTGCCTGGCCCTGGGACAGGCTCATAGCCACAAGCGTGACTTTGATCACCTTGATGGCGTAAAGGGAATGGGGAGAGAAGGGGAAGCTTCAACCTGGGGACAGAGAACTTCTCAGAGTCTCTCTGAAGTCCCATCCTCCATACTTGTTTCAAGTGGGGTTAGAGAAAGAATCAGCAGGGCCTAAAGATCCTTCCTGCCCTCTCTTCTCTGCCTGGACTTTTTTTTTTTTTTAATTTTATTATGTTATGTTAGTCACTATACAATACATCATTGGTTTTTGATGTGGTGATCCACGATCCATTGTTTTCGTATAACACCCAGTGCTCCATGCAGTATGTGCCCCCCTTAATACCCATCACCAGGCTAACCAATCCCCTCTCCCCCCTCCCCTCTAAAACCCTGTTTGTTTCTCAGAGTCCATAGTCTCTCATGGTTCATCTCTCCCTCCAATCCCCCCCCCCCCATTTTTCCCTTCCTTCTCCTAATGTCCTCCATGCTCTTCCTTATGTTCCACAGGTAAGTGAAACCATATGATAATTGACTTTCTCTGCTTGACTTATTTCACTTAGCATAATCTCCTCCAGTCCCATCCATGTTGATGTAAAAGTTGGGTATTCATCCTTTCTGATGGCTGAGTAATATTCCATTGTATATATGGACCACATCTTCTTTATCTATTCATCTGCTGAAGGGCATCTCGGCTCTTTCCACAGTTTGGCTATTGCGGACATTGCTGCTATGAACATTGGGGTGCACATGACCCTTCTTTTTACTACATCTGTGTCTTTGGGGTAAATACCCAGGAGTGCAATTGCTGGGTCATAGAGTAGCTCTATTTTTAAATAGACTGTTTTCCAAAGTGGCTGTACCAACTTGCATTCCCACAACAGTGTAAGAGGGTTCCCCTTTCTCCACAACCTCTCCAACATTTGTTGTTTCTTTCCCTGTCCATTTTTGCCATTCTAACTGGTGTAAGGTAGTTTTGATTTGGATTTCCCTGATGGCTAATGATGATGAACATTTTTTCATGTGTCTGTTAGCCATTTGTATGTCTTCTTCAGAGAAGTGTCACTTCATATCTTCTGCCCACTTTTTGACTTATTTGTTTTTTGAGTGTTGAGTTTGAGAAGTTCTTTATAGATCCTGGATACCAGCCCTTTATCTGTAGTGTCATTTGCAAATATCTTCTCCCATTCTGTGGGTTGCCTCTTTGTTTTGTTGACTGTTTCCTTTGCTCTGCAGAAGCTTTTTATCTTGATGAAGTCCCAAAAGTTCATTTTTGCTTTTGTTTCACTAGCTTTTGGAGATGTATCTTGAAAGAAGTTGCTGTGGGCGATGTCAAAGAGGTTACTGCCTATGTTCTCCTCTAGGATTTTGATGGATTCCTGTCTCACATTGAGGTCTTTCATCCACTTTGAGTTTATCTTTGTGAACGGTGTTAGAGAATGGTTGAGTTTCATTCTTCTGCATGTGGCTGTCCAATTTTCCCAGCACCATTTATTGAAGAGACTGTCTTTTTTCCATTCCATGTTTTTTCCTGCTTTGTCAAAGATTATTTGACCATAGAGTTGAGGGTCCATATCTGGGTTCTCTATTCTGTTCCATTGGTCTATATGTCTGTTTTTGTGCCAGTACCATGCTGTCTTGGTGATCACAGCTTTGTAATACAGCTTGAAATCAGGCAACGTGATGCCCCCAGCTTTTTCTTTTTCAACATTTCCTTGGCAATTCGGGGTCTTTTCTGATTCCATACAAATTTTAGGATTGTTTGTTCCAGCACCTTGAAAAATGTCATTGCAATTTTGATTGGGATGGCATTGAAGGTATAGATCACTCTGGGTAGCATAGACATTTTTAACAATGTTTATTCTTCTGATCCATGAGCATGGAATATTTTTCCATCTTTTTGTGTCTTCTTCAATTTCTTTCATGAGTTTTTTGTAGTTTCTAGAGTATAGATCCTTTACCTCTTTGGTTAGGTTTATTCCGAGGTATCTTATGGTTTTTGGTGCTATTGTAAATTGAATCGTCTGCCTGGACCTGTGAGGCTTTGTGGGGATTTACCCCACATGCTGTAGGGTCAGGCACTAGGGTCATTCCACCCTGCTCTAAACCCTGAATGCCCTTTTCCTAAATGGAAAAATGCAGCCCCAAGCCAGGGACTCCGTATAGGGGATAAAGGTATCTGTGGGCTTGGGAAACTCCAGATATAGGCTACTTGCCCCATAAATTCCAACTGCCATCTCTGCTTTTTTGTTTTCAGAAGCAGGAGATTTGATTTACTTTCTTTATGGCAATCCCTATCCCCTATCTGCCCCCACCCCCACAACCACACATATTCACACAGCAACACACACCCACACAGATATTGGAGGGCCACTTCTGGGTAACCCATCATCCCCTGCATCCCATGAAGGAGACAATTGCCAGGGCCCTCTCTTAGAGAAAGGAGTTTCCTGTGAGATCCTTTCAAATTTGGACTGGGGGCCAGGGCCAGCCTAAGTTGGAAAATGAAGGTATTATCATAAGCACTCTGAGCAAGAAGAGCCAGAAGCATCAAAGTGCCCAGCCTTCATTTTACTGATGAAATGGTGGCCCAGACAGGGATCTGGCTTACCCAAGACCATGCGGCACCTCCTGGTGCTCAGTGCTGGCTTTTGTGCTGCACCCTCTATGGGCTCCCTTGTGCCTCCAAGCACTAAATGAGGGAGAGAAAAGCCTGCAAAAAGGAGGTAGGCACTTGCCTGGTGACCCATGGGGCCCTGACCCTTTTAGGAGTCCAGGGAGGAGGCTACAAGGGAACACCCTTGGGAACTCTGACCAGCAGACTCTCTCCTGCCTGGCTGGCTGTGTACAGTTGTCTTGAATCTTCTTGGAGGCCTGTGGACACTTTCTGCTCCTCTCCCTTCCTATTTCGTCCCGTTTGGGTATGGATACCACTCACTTTTCTGTGGGGTTGGGCCTGCAACCTTGGAGTGGTAATGGGGAGTGATCTTTATGATCTTTTCATCCAGGCTCCCACCCAGGGCAAGAATGCCCTCCCCTTGCCAGCCCCCCTAACAGCCAGCCAATGATGCTTGAGCCCTGCTGGGGCTGGGAACTCACCACCAGCCAGACGAAGGGACCACACATGGGCCCAGATCATTCCCTGTAATGTAAGTGCCCTATGCTGGTGAAGTCCTAGGGGTGCTGAAGCCTACAGCTACACCCTGCTCACTTCTCAAACACCAGCTATATGTCAACAACACAGCCATACTTTCTTTTTTTAAATACAGTCTTTTGGAAAAAAATAAAATAAAATGAAGTCTGTAACTATGGACCTGGTGCTGGGCCTCACTGCGTTCATGTCAATCTACTCCATTAATCATCATATACAATTTTTCAAAGAGCTATTTTGAGAAACATTGGAAAATGGCTTTTACGGAGCTATATATACCTTATTTATACTCCAGAAATGGTTGCTCTGTTTAGCAGCAGATAGGTTTCTCCCCCCTGTTTTCTTTTCATCTCTTAGTCAAAGTTAAGTAGGAAGAAAGCCCACTCCCTAACCCCAGGCACACATTTATCACCCACAGTCGACCTTGGAGTCAGGGTCATGGGTGGGTGGTTGAGAGGAGTGGGTGTGGGTTTCTTGTAAGGCACGATCCAGAGACCCCAAGGGGACAAATACAGGAGGCATGGCGGCTGCTGAGAGGCGGGGTTCTGCAGCCTGGCAAGGAGCAGGACCCCTGGGGGTGGGGTGTGCAATAGAATGTGAACACCCTGGCTTGCTTTTCTCAACACCACGTGGGCATCTCAAGGTCCACAAAGCATATGCCAAGAGCATCCCATTGATATCCAGAGAACAGGAGCCAAAGGAAGACCACCCTGGCCCTGCCCCAGTGCTGTATCTTTGGCCTACAGGAAGCAGCAAGTCGGCCCTGCGCAGTTGCCATGGCAACCAGGGTGCTGCAGCTCCTAAGGGCAAGGGGAGCATAAGGGAGGTGAAGGCACGTGGTGATTTTTTTCTGGAAAAACCCATCTGTTTCTTTTCCCCACAAAACCAAGCTGGGGGAAAATGGGTACCTGGGGTCTAGAGAGAGAAGAGAAAGAAGACTCCAAAATGCTTCAAGAGCAGCTTTCCTGACTGGATGTGCTTCCTTTCCTGTTGGTGGAGGCAAGTCGCTGACAGAGACAAAGCGTTAGGCAGGCTGTGGTGGAAGCATCCAAGCAGGAGCCCATGTTCAGGATTCGGGTAAGTCCTATGACCTCATGCCTGCATGGAGCAGGCCTAGAAGGACTCTTATCAGCCACAGCAAGATTTCTTTTTGGCAGGGCGGTCAACCTGTATTGTGTCCTCCCTCGCTGTATCTTCTTGTTTCTTGAGGATCCTGGGAGAGGAGAAGGTATAGTGTCAGCAGTGGAGAGCTGCTAGGTCCTTTGGTTATAGGCCATCTGGATGATAAGGATGGAACTCAGCCTCACCAGAGCATCAGCGCATTCAGTCTCCCCCGGGTAAGTACAGGTACATAACCATAATTTGTAAAGACGTTTAGTCAATATGGATCCTTCATGACACCTCTTCCAAGAAGCCTCCCCTGATTCTCCAAGTGGTGAAAGTATCCCTGACAACATTCTGACCATTCCTCTGTTATAACTGGATCACCCCATGTCAGAATGAACTGCTTCCCTGGTTGGCTCCCTCAGGCGAGAAAGCTGCTTGAAGGCAGAAACTATATATTTTGTCTCTCTGTCTCTGTAGCCTATCATAGTACCTGGCACACAGTAGACACTCAGAAAATATACTTTTTGGTTATTAACTCTATAGAAGGTCTGTCCCATGTTGCCACAGTTCCAGATTAAATGTAGGAGGTGAAGGATTAAAAATAGTGCTAAGTATCTTATCCCTGCTTTATACCCTCAACGTGCTTTCACCTTTAGCATCTCTTTTGATATTTACAACAACCTGAGTCAACAGGGATGGTATGATTGATGTTCCTATGTTAGGAGCAAAGCTCAGAGAGGTAGACTGACTTGGCCTAGGAATCAGTGTCAGAGAAAAGCCTACAACTTTCCCCATATTCTTCCATAACTCCACAACCTCTCCAATGCATATATTGTTCTGGATAGATGGATAGATGAGTGGACGGATGGGTGGATGGGTGGATGGGTGGATGGATGGATGAATGCATAGGTGGATGGTGGATGGGTGCGTGGATGGATTCATAGGTGGATGGGTGGAGGGATGGGTGGATGGGTGGATAGATGGATGGATGGATGGGTGGGTGGATGGATGGATGGGTGGATGGATGGATGGATGGGTGGGTGGATGGATTCATAGGAGGATGGATGGATGGGGGGATGGGGGGTGGGTGGGTTGATACATTCATAGTGGATAGGTGGATGGGGGGATGGGTGGGTGGGTGGATGGATTCATAGGTGGATGGGTGGATGGATGGATGGATGGATGGATGGGTGGGTGGATGGATGGATGGATGGGTGGGTGGATGGATGTATTCATAAGTGGATGGGTGGATGGATGGATGGGTAGGTGGATGGATGGAATGAAATGAATGCCTATAAATAAGTGAATAAATGAGTGAATGTCCAAGTATTGAGAAAGGATCCTCTATGGTTTTGTTTTGTTTTTTTTTAAATTTTGGTATAGGTAAAGGCTTATGAAAACAGTCTTTTGGTGGAACTAACCCTTTGAGTACTGTCCCCTTGGTGCCTCTAGTTCCCCCCAAAGAGCCCCTCCTCTCCCTGGCTTCTCCACCCCCTCCCCTGGAGCCCATATTATAACTGTTGTTGTTTCCAGCTGGCTGCCAACTAATCCCTGCTAAGATATTAGCCAGTGTTCAGGGACCTGTGATATGACCTTTCCCAGAAGCATTTGCATTTAAAAAGAAGATCCCTGGGAAAAAGGCAGGTTTTAAGATGCAGAAGACTACAGTGGGGGTGAGAGGCAGGGAGGCTTTCTTTTTTGTCCTTATTGTATTTCAGAGGGCTGTCCCTGAATCCCACACAAAGGCCTAGGCCTCCAGCCCCTTTACCCAGAAGGCTCAGGCAGACAGAGGGAGTATGGTCTGCACAGAGGTGAATGCAGTGCTTCCCACTGGCCCCTGTCTGCTGTGATGTGCTTCTTTACCTGGCAAGATGGAGCAGGGACTCTTTGGTGTTATGACCGGAATAGGCACTGCATTCGTAGAAGATCAGATTGTTCTCCTAGAATCATAAAACAGAGGGGACTGAAAGAGTACTGGGGGAGCTCAACGGAGCCATGGGAGGTGGGAGAACACCCTGTCTGCATCTACCCACATCCCTCACTTCCCCTCGCACACCCCTTTCATTCCTCTCCCCCTCCCCACTCTGTAGGAGGAGGTTGATTTTCCTCTCCTCAGGCTCCTTGTCTACGGCAAGTTCTGTAACCGTCTCCCAGGTGAGCTATAACAATTGTAAAACACAAAACAGTATGCTGCCTTAGTGCTTTACACTTCCCCAAATTGCTCGCAGGTATGTACATGCTCATTTCCTTTTCGCACCAGCCTACAATGCAGGCAAAGATACAAAGGCCGGGATGGGCCATGTTCTTCCCACTGCACAGGCAGGGAAACCAAGGGCCTGGTGCAAATGGTGGGTTTGTTCATTCAATGACTTATGGAGTTAATGGCGGGGATTTTCCCAGGACACTGGCATTCCTCGACCCTTGGGGCAGATGTCACAAAGGCACTCCAGTAGAAAATCTCCTTCACACCAGTTAATTAATTCCAGCTGCCTAGGCCACAGGACAACTGTCCATCACTTCAGTAGGCAGAGGCTGTGCTGCTCTTGGCCAAGGCTCATCATTATATCCATTTATCATTCCTGTTAATAGATTTCCTGCTTCCTCAGGACAGTGCTAATGGCACGGAGGGCTGGAGGCTGATGCCCTGTGGGGATGCAGGCAGCTCAGTAAGGACACTTCTGCTGTGGTTTGCAGATCAGCAGACTCTACAAACACTGGCTCCCAGTCCAGCTTTCCTGATTCACACCCCAGGGGCCCCGCTCCATCCTCTGTCCTCTTCACCCAGACCCCGTCTACACTGCTGCTGGAGCCTGACACTGGGTCAGTCTGTGGAAGAATAAAGGCTCCATGGTGGGGGGAGGGAGAGTAAATAGGATCTAGAATTAGAAGACATGATTCACCTTCCAGCTGGCTTCCTGACTCCACCCCTGAGGACCCGTGTGATAAATTGAATCAATCACAACTTCTCTGAGCCTTGTTTTTGTTTGTTTGTTTGCTTTCGACGGGCCAAAAAGAGACAAAAGGAAAAAATGGAGGATAAAAATACAGGTCTGCAGTTCATTAATCAAAATCCTTGGATCCAGATGTACTTTGGAATCCAGAGACTTTGAGTTTCAGAGAAATAGCAGATGTATATACCGTATATTGTATTACCCTCCATGGGTCTGGGACAGCACCCTATAATCAAACATACTAATATTTCTTTGGTGAAACATTTGAAAAATTCATTCGAGCAAGGTAAACAAAGACCGTAAGTAGCTTCCCGTCAGTTCTGGTCAGATTTTTCTGCCAGATGAGATAGGAGAGACCTTTCTGTTGGCAGAGCTCTTTCAAATTTCAGTATTGTGGATAAGGGAGGGCAGAGAGACAGCTACCTCATCACCCTTCTTCCTCCTTTTCTCCTTGACCCTTACCATCTGTGCCCATTTGCCCAGCCTTGGGGGCCATGAGTCCCTGTTTACAGCAAGCACACTAAAAAGTATGGAATCCTGGGGCTGGAAAGCACCTCCATCTTCCCAGAAATACAGTTCCCTGAAAACCACTCGGTGGCAGGAGAAACAGCTGAGGAGAGAGCACTGTTTGCTTTCTGATTTCCATCAAGCCTCTTAGGTCCCCAGCTTGGGCAAGAGGGCCGATGCTTATTTTATTTTATTTATTTTTTATTTTTATTATTTTTTAAAGATTTTATTTATTTATTTGACAGAGAGAGGGAACACAAGCAGGGGGAGTGGGAGAGGGAGAAGCAGGCTTCCCGCGGAGCAGGGAGCCTGATGTGGGGCTCGATCCTAGGACCCTGGGATCATGACCTGAGCCGAAGGCAGACGCTTAACGACTGAGCCACCCAGGTGCCCCCATGCTTATTTTAATGCTACGTTTTCGAGTGCATGCCCTGAGTTTATCTCAAGTTCATAGCCTGGGGCTCAATCTTAATAGAAGGGATAAGCTCTCTAACAGAGCTGTTCGAAGAAGAGCAAGCTGCCTTACAGATAGCGAGTGTTTCATCCCTGGAGGCGATCAAGTGGAAACACAGCAGAGATTCGAGTATCAGATAGGGGATTTAAATAAGTAACCTCTTACTATCTAAGAACTTATCATTCTGAGCCCCAAGGAAGAGAGTTTGGGAAAACTCCCCATACTCTGGTCATCCCCAGCCAACTCTATCTTGTGATGTGTGGCTTTCTATAGAAAGTTCCATGTGCACAGGAGTTGGGCCATTCCCATGACGCCAGGACACCCACCTTGCCCACTTGCTTGCTTCCCAGGGGGTTTCCAGAGAAAGCTCCCGCCAAGGCTCTTGGGCACAGGCCTGACTGCCTTCAGGGTCCCACCCTGTCCAGAGAGACGGAAACGTTTCCTCTTTACCTTGGCAAGCTGCTCTCCGAGGCCTCGTGGAACTTCCCGCTCTTTCTCGTTGTCAATTTTATTGCCCAGCAGAAGAACAGGGATGTAGTCTCCCACAGCTTCCTGCAGAACAGAAAATCCCCCAACTGAGAGAAGCATCCATAAGGAAAGCCCAGAAGGGCAGGCTTAAAATGCTGGTGGGAAAGATACAATCTGGCTTGCGAATCCCCTGCTGCCACAACAGGCCAGGCGAGAATATAGTCATCCCAAAAGCTGAGAGGGAGCGTCACCTTCTCCAAGGGCCTCAGTTTACAAGGCTTCTGCAAGGTGCCTCAGGCCTGCCTCTGGGTGCCTCCCAGATTCGGCTGTGCAGTGACCCCTCCCTCCTTCCCCACTCATCCCTGCTGGATGGGACATGCAGGCTCCCCCAGGTGTGCTGTGGGTAACAGGATGAGGGGACAGTAGACGCCAGTGAACTATGTGTCCTTTTCCACGGCTGATAGCGTCCCTGAAAGCACTCCTAAGTGACCAGACTTAGTCTAAATGAACCAGAATGAAGCAAAGGAATTAATGCAGTGAGCTTTGGAGCAGTTCTAGGGGCTGCTTTGATTAGAAGTGGCATCTCCAGGGGCCTCATATGGGGCACATAAGCTCCCTGAGGGTTGGGTCCAATTCTGATTCATGGTTTTGGGTCCCCAGCGCCCAGTCTATGATTGTTGTATACGGAATTGGAGGTCACCACGCGGGGCAGTACAGATCCCTGTCATCGGGTGCACTGAGGCCTGCGTGGGGAAGAGCTCGGTGGCCACAGAAGCTCCACTTCTCAGCCACAAGTAACAGGCGTATTCACGGGGTCAACTTTCTTTACTCCCCCGGTGACTGTGGCATATCAGCCAGGGGCCCACACCCCCGAGTCTCTGCACCCCGGGGTGTCCTCCCTTGCGAAATGTGTGTAGTTCACATGCCTCTCAGGAGGGCAAACAAAGGGCCCACGGTGCACAGCTATTAAGTGAGTAAATATGATAATATTCACATGTAAGCAGGTTGTTATTTTTACTTAGTGAGATATTTAATTAGGGGCTTTTAATAATAATTTGGTAACCAATAGTTATTCATTGTAGCTAAAATGTTTTACTAAATAGAGAGGGTTGGGGGATGATAGAAACCAACAATTGCTTACAGTTTTGCCAAGAGTTTAGCCACTGGATCTAACCACTTCAAATAAATGTCCCAAGTCCTTCCAATAGGTTCACATGTTTTCAGTTTGAATGCAATTGTATTTGAGATTAAGCCTCCATGGCTCCTTAATCTACACATTCATTTTTATTGCAGTTCCGTAGTGAAAAAAATTCTCATTTACTCGATGAGAACGTTAAGGCTCAGAGAATCCAAAAGCACATTCAATAACAAAGTCACCGAGTTACGAGGACCCTTTAGTATATGGGTCCACAGTTCTCCAACATTTTTCTCTAAATTCTGATTTCCAGTGAACTCTCTGCTATTTAGTGTTTTATTAACTAGAACTCTCTCAAAGTGGTATTTCCATTTATCCATGGTCAGATGGTAATTTATGTTGGTAATGATGGCTCAAAAGCACTCCATGATTTGGAATGTGTCTTCTGATCCATCAAAAGTAGATCAAATTATGTGCACTGTACTTGAGGTGCTAAGTGGATCGCACTCTATTCCAAGTATTTGCAAATGAGAAACGTCTTACGGCATAGAGACCATGCTGTGGCTTCCTCTTACCAGAGTGCTGGGTAATGGGAATACCCCCATTTTCTGACTGTGTTGTGCCACAGAAACTTGTGCGAAGACTTTTTCACAGAAAAGGAAAAAAAGAGGAGGAAGCAGGGAAATGGGCCAAAAGGCTTGCTGTGTACAGCACATGAAAGATATTTGTAGATTTATGTGTGAGGGATGACTAAGGCTTGTGGGATTTCTTGACATGGAAACTCTGACAATATGAGCATCAGACTTGAAATCCCCAGGCGGAATTTGAACCCGGATTCAGGTATGTTGGAATGGGTGATGGCTTCAGTCTCCTCGCCTGCAAAAGGGATGGTGGGTACCGAATGACCAAATAGGATCAGATAGGGAAGAGTCACAAGCCCAACATCTGAGCCCTGTGCACCACAAACAGCAGAGCTGCCTCTCTGAGGGAAAGTGGGGGGAGGGGGGAAGAAGCAGTCTTCTTTTTTAAAGCAATTCCTGGATATAAAAATAAAACATCTTAGAAGGAACAGAAAAAAGCCCTCCCCACTCCCCCCTGCCCGCCCCGGAGCTGTGGCTTCTGTTCTTCGCATTGTTCCTCTCTTATGCAAATACTGTGGACAACTCCCTTCCCCTCTATGGGCCCTGGCCCGCCTCTGATAAAGAATTAGGCGCATCTCCAAAGATATGGCAAAAATAAGTGAGCACACATACAAGGCCAGAGAGTGTGCCATCCATCATGGGAGTCAGTCATCAGCACCCTGGCCCAACACCAGGCTCTGACACAGGGCCATGGGGAGGACTGGGGCTGGGGTAGTTGTCTCATGGCCCTCTCTGACTTTAACCTCAAGTTTTCAGCTCTCTGCCCAAACCTTACACCTTTCAGGTACCCAGCCTGTATACTGCTTGGCACAAAGAGGCTCATCATGACCCACCAGATGAAGCAACGCTTCCTTTTAAAAGTCTAAAGCGCACCTCCTTTGGCAAACAAGTCTAAGGTCCACCCCCACCTCTGGTGACATTTCTATAGATGCTGGTAGAACTCTGTAGGCATGGCAGGTCAGAGGAAGGAATCGAAGCTGTTTAGCCGGGCACATGACCTCTGTGTGTGTGGGACCCACTCCTTTTCACAGACTGTATTCTGTGAGCTATGAGATGGACCTACGCAGCTGGTTCCTATCCGCTGACACCCGGCCCAGAAGCCTCTCCATACCTCCAACCATTTTAGTTGCCTTTCTTTGAACTTGAGCTTGTTGGAAGACAGACGTGTTGAAATTCAAAAGATTACCCACCTCTGACTTTAAATAACATGAGCTGTCAACTTGGAGCAGAGGACTGGCATTCAGCTCAGAACGTGCAGCTGTTGGGTTTGGTTGGCTGTAGTTTGTGTGTGTGTGTGTATGTGTGTGTGTGTGTGTGTTAATATCCATTTGCTGGGAGGCAAGAAAAAGCACTTAGCCAGGATAGTGCTGCTATTTCTCTGGAGCCAGAACAAAAAATTTCTCAGCACATTAAGGCATGTAGTTATGCTAAGAAAAAAATAACTGCAAAATTATATCTTGGGGGTTTCCATATTTATCCACCCCCTGGACTATGAGTCAAAACAAGATTTATTTGTGTAGTTCGTTTTAAACTGCCAGCACTTCAAGCTCAACTTGGAACATGGGGGAAAAAATCAAACTGCTATTTTTTGCTCTGTGCTGTGCATTGCCTCCAGCAACAAAGATCACAGAATGAGAATTAGCTAGTGGTCCACAAAGGGAGAGGAAAGTGCGCTGGGCCCCTCTGAGCTAACGAAGTGTTCTGCTTTGAGGCGGAAATGGGAAGGACTGAAAAAGAAATGAACACCTATTTTTCAGAAGCAGATTTCGCCCATGGACCATGTGATGTTCTTGTCACATAATGCATAATGCAGCATAACACAGTGGCTAGAACTAGACTCTAGTTCTGGCTGGGCGTCTGGCAAGCTGTGGGGACTTTTGGACAAGTCACTTCCTCTCTCTGGATCGCAGGACTTTTCATCTATAAAATAAGAGGCTGCATTAAATTAATCTCCAAGTTTTTTCCCAGTTCGGGTCGCTGCTCCTGTTGGTTTCATGATCCCGTCATTTTCCACTTCCTTGACTTACAGACCTAACAATATGGGGCCTTCAGAGTGACAAAAGATTGAAGCAGGAAGTTCAACCTGCCAGGACTGCAGACACTGGGGACCCACAAACTGGATTCGGGGAAAATACAAGCCCATTCAGGCTTGTACCAAAGCCGATTTTCCCTAACTGATACAGGCCCCAAAGTCTCCAGATGTCCAGATTGTCCCATGATCTAAACACGGGACCCTGAGAGCCCAACCAGTTTCTTCTCTAGATTAGACTGGTTAAACCAGTTCTACCCAGCAGAGATGAGAAGGAGGTAGGGGAGGGCTGGGGAAACTGAGGTGGCAGGAATGGCTACCTGCTTTGATGTGCTATAAGGTACACAGGGAATGTAAAATGACAGGAGAATCAGCACAGTGTGTGCTTGGGCCTCTCCTGCAGAAGGCCTGTGGGCAAGGTAGAGCTGCCTAGGGGTGGGGGGAATGAGGGAGGGTGGGGCAGGGGGCCAGCCATGGGGGCCAGGCTCTCCCAACTCATAAAGCTGCGCAGGTGTGTGTTAGGTCTCTTGAGCCAAAGAATTTTGGTTCCGTCGGGACTGGAAGGATCCTCTAGGGTCCTCTCATCTGTGCACACTCCTGCTCCACCATGGACCCCTCCCCCCTCCAGAGGATCAAATGCCATACGCCGTAAGAATGCGGGGGCCAGGAGGAACCCGTCAGAGATTCTGGTCCAGTCTGTCATTGGGTGACTGGCCAGTTTCACGGCCAGGAAGTGCTGAGCTAGGATGATAAGAACTTCCTTTTCACGGGACTCCATAGCGCCCCCCAGCCCCACCAAGCATCTACTCCCCCCCATACACAACCTCTTCCAAGAGTGAGTCTTTGCCACGTATAATCTGGGGCAATTTAAGCCCTTTCTTCTTGCACTGCTTTTCAGGTTGCGGGAGGAAGGGGCGATGCCAACAGCTGGCCAGCATTCACTTAATAATAAGGCTTCAGAACGTGAAGCCTGTTATTAAAGCTCCCCTCCACCCTCCCTTCTCCGAGTGAGGCAGTTGGCAAAGTGCTTGGAGCTCCATGGAAAAATAAGGTGCTCCACAAATACAAAGTACTTATTATTTTCAGTTCCCTCTGATCAAATTAGGTGTCAGGTTTTAATCTGTCACCTGACACCTCTGATTGCTGGTTGCCAAGGCAGAATGACTTTAGCTTTTCAAGAATCTTGAGAATAATTGCATTCACGAACCCACTGTTCCACACCTTCGACACACTCCGCCATCTGACACTTGTTCACAGGTTCACACAACTGCTGCCCGCCCCCCACCCCCCGCACTTGTCTGCAATCCCCTGGGGCCACTGGACTGGGTCCCCACACCGACTCCCCCAGAGTGTCTCGCCCGCGCCAGACAGGTGGGTCTGGCGGATTCTTGTGGAAGGAACACAGACATCTTTGAAAGTGATTCAGGGCCTTGCTTCTCAAAGTGTGGTCCCCGGCCTGGCCGCATTGGCCTCGCTGGAGAACTTGTTAGAAAATGCAGAACCTCGGGGCCTACCCAAGATTCTGAACCTGCTGAGTCAAATTCCGTATTTTAGCAAAGTTCCCCAGGAGATTCCTATGCATATTGAACTTTGAGAAGCACTTTTGAGGCTTGGAATCATGGCAACTGAGAATCAAAATCACTTGGGGAACTGTTGCTTTTTTCTTTTTCTTAATGGTATTTCCAGGCTCTGAATCATTCTATCTGGGGGAGAAGGCCTGGCATCTGTTTTGTTTGAAAGCACCACAGGTGAATCCTGATTATCCAGGTTTGGCAGCCCCATTTAGAGTTTACCTGTACCTTCTGCTGCTACTCTCAAGAAGGAACATTCAAACTCCAAATTATAGAGGAAAGCCCCACCCTCACCTGGAGAATTCTGAGTTAAGTGCATTTCCGTGTGGCTTCCCTGGGCCATCGATGCACTAGGGTTTCCCTGGGGACTCTTGCTGGGTACGTGCTGACAATGCTTTTCAGCCCATCTGGGCACACACCAGACATCCGGGGCTTGGCACGGTTTTCCGGAGAATGACCGAACTCGTGTTTCCAGCTGCAACGGTGACCCTCGGCTGTCTTTGCCTCACCGCCGCCGCTGCCAAATTCAACCTGATATTCCGCCTCTCCAGCCAGATCCCGGGCTCTGGGTGCAAAACTGGGGCCTCAGAAGCGACAGCCCCTACTGAAGGCAGAGAGCACAGTTCTGCAAGTTTGCCTCCTCTATCCATCCCTACTCATCCCAGACTACTCGAACTGCCTCTGCCTGCTCCTGTCTGTCTCAAGATGTCGATATCAGGGGACAACGACATGGGCTTAGCTGGGAAGAGACTGGGTGGTGCAGACGTCATAGCCTCCATTTCTTCCTTTGAGAATGAGATGGCTGTTTTAGATCGGTGATTTTTCACAGGGAAGCCCTCCTGTCTAGCAAAATTGTGCCTGGACTTCCAATAGAGAAAATTGAATGAAGCAGAGGTGGCGCTGAATGATCTGGGGGATGAGCCCTCCCCATGTCCCCAGGGTTCCCAGAAAGAAAGTTTGAGAACCATCAGATTAGATAATCCCTCATGTCTCTCCTGGTGCTTAATTTCTGTGAGGAAGATAAATCTGCCACACTATCAAAAAAAAAAAAATCATGTCATAAATTCCAAAGTTTAAGCAGGAATTGCTTCCAGATTACCCATCCCATTTGCCTCCATTATTAGCTCGGCCTAGAGCCATTCACCACATGTCAAAACTTAACATTTTCTCTACTGTAAATTTCTCAAGCCCGATCATTTCGAGAAATAATTTGTATGAAGCAAATTTCAGAGAAACCTTTGAATCTGGTTTCCACTCTTGTTCCTTCTTTTTTCCTGGAAATGAGAGGGATGTGGATTCACAGCAGAGAAAGGAGTGGCCCAGCCAATCTAAACTCTAAGAGAAACAGATTTTGGTGGGAGGAATCACAGATCTTAGGGCCAAAAGGATGAAGAAATGAACAATTCCAGGATTCTGCCTGCCCAACGATATGGTATCCATTCTCTCCTCCCACATCTGTTGAGCGCTAGTTCTGTGGGGCCCATGCCAAGCGCCTGTTACACAGTGTCAGTTCTCAGGAGACCCAGAGGCAGGGAGCTGGGTTGGCAGCTGTGTCCTTCACAGCAGTGTCACAGTGTGGTGAGTAGGTGAGGGCTATGCCAGGTCTTAGGGGCTTGAGCAGCAGGTTGAAAGTAAACTCCACGAGGACAGGAACCTTGTCTCTTATCTGCTGCTATGATTTCCAGAACCTAGAACAGTGCCTGGCAGTGCTTTAGACAAATACACGAACAACACATGGATCCTGCAGGTGGAAGGAGGTGGGGCATCCTAGCTGATGGTTTTGTTAAAAGACTCCGCTGAATAAAGCAATAGCGTTTTTTAAAGCACCAAAAAAAAGAAAAAAAAAAAGACTCCGCTGAGGCCCTGTCAAATAAATCCGTGCCTTGTCCGCCCTGACCTTGGCCTTGAGAAGGCTGCATCTGATGCAGATGGTCAGAAAGTACAAAGCACTTACGCAACAACTTATTACAAGTATAAATCAAGAGAGTTGAGTCTTACAGTTAATCCAGAATTCAAAGAAGAGGGCTGTTGCCTGTGGGTCCTGCCCAGGGTGACTTTGGGGTGAGCGCGGGCGCTCACATTGTAGATCAACCTCCCCTCTTGAGAAGGGTTGTGACAGAGGCCCCAAGACACTGTGTGGAGCCACTCCTGGGCTGGGCATAGCTGGGCCCACGGGAGCCAGAACAACACAGAGCGGCAAAAAGGAGGAAGAACATGGGTGGGCCTCAGTTTAAACACCAGTTTCTCTCCATTCTGAGCCCTCCCCCAATACAGCCCATTCACTTGAGGCACTTATGGCGATTGTAATGACACAGTTATGGGTGTGATCTGTTTTTCAAGTCCCCACCTTCATGAGGGCAGGGACTGTGTCAGTCTCGTTCATCCCCAGTACCGAGGGCTGGGCTTGGGTGAATGGCCATATGGACGCCTGGAGAAGGCGGGCTCTGAATCAGGTTTTGGAAGAGCAGAGGGCCGGGCAGGAGACGGGCAGGGACAAGGGGGAGGCAGGAGTCAGCGTCAGCGCTCCTAGGAAGGTCACCAGCTCACCTCCACGCTGCTCAGCCACTGCCGGACCGACAGGAATGACTGTCTGGCGGTGACATCGTACATGACGATGACACCATCGGCCTTCCTGAAGAACTGCTGAGTGATGCAGCGATACCTGCCACCGAGGACCACACGTCAGGGGCTGCATGGCTCCCCCCGCAGCCCGCACCTACAGCCCTCTCGGTGGCCGGTGGAGGAGGCAGGGTTTGGCCAGGGGTGCTCCTCACCTCTCCTGCCCCGCCGTGTCCCACAGCTGCAGCGCCACGGACGAGTCGTCCACGCTCACCATCTTCACCCGATAGTCGATGCCTGCAAGGTGGAATGAGCCTATCACTTCCGGATCAGAAAACGACCCCCAACATGTCCTGAAGCATGTGAGGCCAGGGGCAACAAGCTTCCCTGTGCAGGTTCCCCCCAGCCCCAGGGAGCCTGAGTTCTGGTCCTGTGTCTGCCACTTAGCCGCTGTGGGCTGTGGATCAAATCACTTAAACTCTCTGAACCGTAGGTTCCTCACTGTAATGTAATCCACACCCTCTTTAGGGATTCTATAATAAGGGTCAAATGAGATCACATATGTAGAAACAATATACCAAGGCAACGATAATTGTTCTTTTTCACCAATTTACTCCCTCATTGCAAAAATGGAGGAGGAGACAGTCCTCCTATTTCTTTCTCCCCCTACTCCCTAAAATCCTTTTCAAAGTTCCCCTAACAAAATTCAAATATCCCCAGGGGGTGGGGTGGGGGATTGATCATACTTTCAGACTTCCATCTGCCAATGCAAAGGATGTGGGGAAGTGAGGGAGGGGTGGCAGGTAGAGGGAAGGTCAGAAGAGAAGAGAAGGGGTAAGGGAGGGAGTCAAAAGCAGCATTCACCCTTGAGATGGGCTTAGAGCTCCTAATCCTAGCCCCTGGGCCAGTCAAAATCATCTCTCTGCGGCCTCGACCCTACCCAGAGTCTTGGTCCAGAGGGACAAGAACTGTACCCCACCGTGGCCCTCGGAGAAAAGGACCTCAATGCAGTTTCTCTGAGAACATATTCCTCTTTCCTACATCATGTAAGAATGTTCACAAATGTTTAACACCTTTCAAAAAGTCTTTCCCCCTCATGGTGTCTGATCTGGGAACTAGAGGGCATCCCCTGCCACCTTCAAAAAGGCCCAGGGCGAAGGAGCTGGGACATCCTATGTGACTGCCATGGGAGGCTCAATAAGGGACAGCAACAGAAGCTTGGCCAGAGAGAGACAAAAGAGACGACAGAGAGGCAGTAAATCGGAAAGGTCATCCCAGCCACGGTCTCCAGGCAAGGCCCTAGTGCACTAGGGGCCCAGGAGTGGCAGGAAGGCGGGAGAGTCCTCCACTCCTAGAATGTCAGACCAGCAGGGGCTCTAGAAGCCCTCTGCTTCACAGGTGAGGCCAAGAGGGGAGTGCATTGGTGCATCTGGAAGAGCAAAAGAGCGATTTGTCCAGTTGGTAGAATGCTTGATATTTCTAGGTTTCCTGTGCCATCTCTCTACCATCACAGTGCTCCTGTGACATCCACGTGAGGGTTGTTATCTGCACACCTGCATGGGCACGCATGTGCATGCACATCCATACACACACGTGCACATGCACACACGCACACACACGCATGCCCAGTGACGGGGTGTCTTGCCCACGCTGGGCAGCAAGTTGCAAGCCCAGCCCTGAGGCTCATTCTTTCTGCAGCAGTGCCCTGTACACAGGGACACCTGGCAGCCTCATTTCGCCCAGGGAGCTCAGGGCTCAGTGCTCCCAGCAAAACGGACTATGACTGGCTGGGCTGAATCTGGGAGTGAGTTTTCTTCTTAGCGAAAAGTGCAAGGGCTTCCCCAGTCTCTGCTCTGGGGGACTGAAGTTGCTGCTTGCTTTGTGATAACAACTCAGCAGAAAGCCGACCATGGTCGACACACCTTCAGGGCCTGATCTGAAAGCAGGCTGAGGGTCCAAAGCCCCTGAGGACAGAGCCCTCTCCTGAGTGGAAAGGCAAGCAGGTGGAGGGGCAGGTGGTGCTGCTTGGGGCGGCTGGGTCTTGGCTACGGTCATGGTTCTGCTCTCATTGGCTAAGTACTTGCTGGAGGACAGGGAGCTTGTCTTGCAGGGGGCAGGAGTACTGGCAAAATGGGTTCTGTGCCGTGGTGAGCTTGCTGAGAGTCTCAGCTGGGTACACGATGTACTCATCTCTGCAAACCTCAGACAGGCCCAGGAAACTGAGAAGCCCACGGGGAGAGCCTGGGGGCGGTGGCAGGAGACACAAGGAGTCCGAATCCAACATAGCAGGCAACACACAATGACGTGGGACCAGAGAGCCTGGAATAAACTGGTTTCTAAGACCACAGACAGTTCTAACATTTCAGGAGCTGGGCAACCCATGCTATGTCCAGTCTCAGTTCTGCCTCTGACCAGCTATGCGATCTTGATGATATTACGTCATTTTGGGGTGTCTTCACTCCTCACCTACAAATGAGGGGTGATGGACGGTGTAGAGGGATAGGTCAGATGTTCATAATCTTGAAGTTCAGCTGTAGCATTCAATAAACACATGGCAGTGACCTCCAATTTGCAACCTAACTGATTCCTGAATGACAGCTGAACGTCAGGGGTCCCCGGCACTGAGAATTGTGTTGTGTCTTGTTAGGGGATGGTGTGGGATACAGCTGGGCTGATGGACTCCAGGAAAGGCGATGTTCACTTCTGGACAAGACAGGCTCAAGATATCATTTAGAGTAGGGGGGATTTGGGAGGGGGAGGGCCTGAAAGTTGTCGTAGAGAAAAACTCTAGGGATTTCTCTGTAGAGTTGCGGAGTGGGATAGAAAGCAGACTGGAGGCCAAAAGGGGCAGAGTGCATTCTGTTGGGAAAAAACTTCTGGAAGAAACACCTTGGGCGGTGGCCTGTGACTTACGGCAGGGGGATGTGAACCAATGTGGGGCAGTGGAAGGAGCATAGGCCTCGGAGTCCCGGTTTCCAGGGAGCTTTAGCTTCTACTAATCAGTCTTGTCATGTACAAAATGAGCTCCGACATTCTACAGAAACCATCACTTGACATCTCCAGGACACCCACGGGGCTCAAGCCCTTGCCTTTGAAGGAGTCAGCTGGTCCTAAGGAGGCGTGGGCAGGGCCCCCAAGTCACGCTGTTGTATTGTAGCATTTACATTGTGCACAAGCCAAGAGTCCAGGATGGATCACATCCATATGAGGGAGTGGGAGACCTGAAGTCCCCTTTGGTGGTGGTGGTACGATTTAGGGAACCTCCGAGTCTCTGTTAGGGCTGTGGTGCTGCCAGTGGTGTTGCTGCCCTTAGCAGGTGGCGGGTGGCCCGAGCCCCAGGCTAGGGGGGCTGAGGGTCCAAAGCCCCTGAGGGGCTCTAGGGCCAGAGCAGGATTCGGTGGCTTTTCTGTCTCTTTAAAGGGAGCATCTTTCTGGCGGCTGGTGTGACATCTGTTACTGACATGTGTACCAGAACAACGCACGTTGTGTGGCAGGGAGACTAATTTCAGCTGCTGTTCCAGCATGTTCTGCGCAGTATGATGAAGGGCATTCCTGATTTGGAAGCTTTGATATTTTTCCCTTCCTAAATTATAGGTGTTTCCATAATTGGTCTCCTGGGAAGTGCAAATCAGCCTGATTTTTCCTTTTTCAGAGGCTTCCAGCTCAGGGGCACAAAAATTGGAAATGTAAACGGCCCCTGATTCCCTGATTTCATTGACAGGGATTTCATTGACACACTGTGCACCTTGCTGAGAGGGGTGCCTCTGAGGGCCGAGGGCCTGGCATGCACCCCCGTCTCCCACGAACCTGTGCTGAAGCCCTGACTTGTGGGGGGGCCTACCCCACGGAACGTCCCTGGGAAGGTGAGTCCTCCTCCTGCAGCCGTTGCTTCCTGCAGGACACTGGGCTCACACAAGGCCAGCGAGGCCAGGCTTCTCCAGGCTTGGGTCACAAGCTCTGCCCTTCTTCCTGTCAGGGACCTGATTCTTCATCTGGGGATGCTCTCAGTCTTTGGGTGGAATGAGACAGAAGGGAGGGGACAGGAGAATGTTCCAGATGATAACAGCATAGGAAAAGACCCAACAGTAAGAATGGGATGCCTGAAGCATGTGGGAAGAGACCCATCTGCAGGAGCAAATTTGGAAGGAAGGGGAAGAATACGGAACCTCCCCAGGCAGGGTTCTGGAGCAGGGAAAGTTTGTCTTATAGAGCCAGCTTGTCAGATAGCTGAAGGTCAAAAATGGTCTGGACAGAGAACCAGGCTTGGAAACCATCTTGGGTGACCTGGTTCAAATCCTCCAGGAGGAGAAACTTGAAGCCCCAGGGGGAACATGTCCTCCTAAGGTCACACAGCTGATGAGTGGCAGAGCTGAGATGAAGATCTAGGACTCCTGATGTCCCTCTGAACCTCAGCAGCCTCCCCTGCCTGTACCAATCCGTGCCCACCTCGTAGGGTGGGCAAGTGTCCTCACCCCTTGCTGGGTGCTGAGCACACACAACTCAGTATGTGGAATGGTATAGAAGGGGCATGTGAGGGGCCAATATCAGCACTAAACCAGCTGAGGGAATGTGGATAAGCCTCTTAACCTCTCTGGGCCTCGGTTTCTACTGGGCTGGTAAGAGTACTTTCCCCCAGGGTTGTGCAAAGATAGATTGAAATGATGAATACAAAAGCCCATGGTAAATATGCAGATCACATCAATATATTTTCAAATACAGCTGCCTTATCACTACGGCTGAAGGGTACATAGCAGTCTCTCAGGGGATTTATTTTGTGCTTGAGTGATTCAAGCAAAAGGTAGAAGCTAAAAGGTCAATATGCCCTTGGGTCTTGCCACATCTTCCAATGCAATGAGCAACTTTGGGTGAAGGGAACAAAGGCCTCTCTCTGAATAAAATATTACTCGAGTGTGGGAACACATTAAGCCATGATCATCCATTAATAGCTGAGCCTAATGAGCTTCCACGATGAAATCCAGCTGTCCCCCAGCAGGCCTGGGATGCAGAACGGGTAAGATGTGATGGTAAAAGGAGTCACCCAGAGCGCTGTCCTCCACCGCACCCTCTACACACACACACACACACACACACGCACGCACATGCATGCACGCGCACACACACGGGGAGGGGCAGGGCAGGAAGCTGCTGGCCCGTGGGGGAGGCAGGGGTTGCAGTGTTGGGGTGCACACCTCAGGAGGAGCCTGAAGACTCAGGGCCCTGCTGAAAATGGAGAAAAAACAATAAAAAAGAGACGGGCTCAGAGGGAAACATGGGGCCCAAAGCCCACCTTTGTCAGCTGCAGCTCCCCTCGGGCTGGACAAAGGAAGCGTTCAGTGGAACGAGCTTCGTGGCTGGCACTGTGCAGGAGGGGGACTTGACCTTGCTCCTTTGGCCTCACTGGGGAATAAACCGGCAGGGCCCCCTACCAGCCAGGCCCCACGGCCACTCCCACCGGGCCCCCAGTCCCTTCCTGGGCCCACTTCTCACTCCCTACCCTCCCCAGAGGGGGGGCCCCCGAGAACTCACCCACAGTGGCTGCCAAGCCAGGGGCAAACCGCTCCTCACAGAACCTCCTCAGGAAGGAAGTCTTCCCCACAGCGGAGTTGCCCACTAGCACGATTTTGAAGAGCCGGTCTGGGCTGGAGGGAGGGGCTTCCTCCTGTGGACGGCAGACAGACTGGCATGGCCACTGGCCCCTCCTCCTGCTACAACCTGTCCTTCGACCAGTCCCTACAGGGTCCAGGTGAAGGTGGGGACCTGGCCTCCAGACCAGCACAAGGGGGGGCACTCCAGTCCGGGATGCAAGTAGCTTTGGGCTCTGGGCATAAGGGCTCCTTCTAGCATCAGCAGGAGGGAAGAGAGACACTCATTCAACCATTTGTTGTCTGCCTACTGTGCTGTGACCGTGGGCAGAAGACACAGGGACGAGGAGGCAGGCCCAGCTGGCCAAGGACGGAAGAGGCAGCCGTATAAACAAATAATTACAACACATGCTTCCAGGTGCTCCGGGAGCATGGACGGGGAGTCCAGGGTCCACAGGGGAGGACACCGTGAGCCGGGGCTTAAAGAGGAGGCAGAGATTCTCTGTCCGGGGGAAGGACGGGTGGGATGTTTGCAGGGGCAAGGAGAGATGGAAGAAGGCATAGGTATATCACAGGGGCAGAGAAGGCCCAGGGTGGGCGAGGGGGCCTTTATGTCTGCCCTAGCACTGAAAGCCTGGACTGAATGGAGGACGCTCTTACTTGCCTCCCTGCACAGTGCTCATCCTTCCGTCTCATCAGCTTCCGGTTAGGACCCCATCTGCCTGGGAAACGGGCTCCACTCAGTAGGTTGGGAAATCGGCCCGGCCAGACCACTGGGCAGAGCTTTCCAGAGTCAACCACCCACCCGTGCGCTCCTTCTTCTTGGCCCAGCCCGCACGGACTGGGAACAGATCTGCCCCTGAGTTAGTCTGGGACCCTAAAGCCCAGTGGGGGATGAACATGCTCAAGGACAGCCAGGGCAGCCGAGTAAGGAGCTGCCTCTCGGCTGCACGATCATTCCTTCCCATGAGCTGCTTGTTTGCTCGGCCAAATCCTGCCTCCAGGCCCAGCCCAGCCCTGCCTGGCCAAACAAGGAAGCTCTTTTGAATCTATTTAGAAGCGGATTTGGGGGAATTAGCTCCTCTCACTGAGCAAATACTATAATGGAGTGGCAGCAGATATTAGCAGTACTTGAGTCTCAGAGAAAAGCCATCAACAGCCTTTTGGGGAGAAATCAATTCCATGCAGTACTTAGGAGGGAATTCAAGGTCAATTACAGGAGTTTAGACTAAACTTAAAAAACCCGTACTCATAAACTATGCCCTCTGCCCCATTTTCTTTATTTTTATAATGCATAAGGGCATTGACTGCTGGTCCCTGCTCAGCCTCTGCCTCCAGCTGTCATTTGTTTGCGACTAAAGCTCAGTGCGGCAATCCGTGTATCCCTAGGCATGTCTCCAGGTGGGCAATAAGAAACCCAGAGCAGGAGAAGACGGTTCTGGCTGCTGAGGCAGTCCTGGCCCTGTTCTAGGAAGAGCAGGGGTTTTTTTGCAGGCCAAAGATCAACACACTGATGGTCCAGCTCTGGGCAGGCCCCACCTCACAGGTGCAGCGAACCCCGACTCATGTTCACTCATATAACCTGTGTTCCCTCTGGGGGACAATCCACAGTGTGTCAGCCAGATTGCAGGGAGGGGGCTGGAGTAAGATCTGTTCTCATTCTCTGTCCTGCCACTTTTTTTTTTTTTAATTAAGCTTTAAAAAAATAAAAGTAATACATGCTAATTTTTAAAATTAGGAAAAAGAGAAAAGTAGAGAAGAAAATAATAATTATTCATAATCTACCTTGCCAACCAGAAGTGGTCATATTTTGATGCATGTCTTCTAGGCTTTTTTCTATGTAGATGAATGAATACATGTTTTATTTAAAGAGATCTGGAATATTATAAACAGTTTTATTCTTTCTCATATATTATTAAATTATAAGTATTTCTCCAAGTCACTAAAGTTTCTTGAAAATGTGATTTTTTTTTAGATTTTATTTCTTTATTAGAGAGAGTGTGCCTGCACACACGCGAGCACGATCGGGGGGAGGGGCAGAGGGAGAGGAACAAGCCGACCACCTGCTGAGCATGGAGCTGGACATGGGGCTCAATCCCAGGACCATGGGATCATGACCTGAGCTGAAAGCAGAAGCTCAACTGACGGAGCCACCCAGGCGCCCCTTGAAAATGTGATTTTTAATAGTGCTATAATATTCTATTGAATGTTTTCAAGTGTTTGCTAATATACATAACCATTTCTGAGTTAAATCTTTGTCTGAACTTGGTTATTAGGAAGGATTGCTAGGAGTAGAAGTGCTGGTTCAAAGGATGTGGAATTTCTAAATTCTTGATTCTTGTTATCAGACTACTTTCCAGAAAGGCTGGATGGATTGATGCCTCAGCAGCCTTGCGTAGGAGGGCCTGCCTCTCAGCACTCTTCCAAAGGGCAGACCCTCTGGTAAAGCTTCCCCATGATTCTCCGAGAGCCCACTTCCTGTCTGCAGCAGCTTCTGTCCCAGGCTACTCGGTAGCACACGTGGTGGAGTTAGCACCCACGTGAGAGCACACGGCGAGCAGGCCGGGCTCAAGTCCCTGGGGGGCCAGACCAGGTCTAGCCCCTCCGGGCCTCTACTTCCCCATCTGCCACAGGGGAGAAGACACTGCTGACGCACCCCATCAGCTCACATGGGCCAGCACACCTGGATGCTTCATTCCTCCCTTTACCCCATCTCCTACTGACCTCTTGATACTTTTACATTTGGGAGCAGAGCATGGGTATTTAAAACCCCAGTGTGCCCCCTGCCCGCAGGTGCAGGTCTGTGCTGAAGGGGGTGTGGAAGGGCATGGAGGAGGGAGGGGTCGCTATCCACCACTGGTGCCATCCAGCTCTCACTCGCCTGCTGGCCCAGGGCCCTTCGGAGAAGGGACATGAGGCATCTTAACCCAGGCCCAGGAATGACAACCGATGCCAAGGAGTCCCTGCAGTGGTCGGAAAGCTTTTCTGGCACACATGCTAATACGGCCATTTGGAAATGCTCAAGTGTCAAGGAAGGGCTCAGTCCTACAGGGCCGCCCCAGTGTATAGGGAGGAGTCTCTTTCACACTGTCATGGGCATTTCTGTAGCCTTTCACAAGGTCCAGTGGGAGGTGAAGTGCTGGAGGAGTCTATTTCTGGGCGTGGGTCACAAACAAGGTGAGGAACATCATCACCACGTACCAGAGGAAGATGGTTACTATGGCCTCCTTTTCCTGCAGCATTGAGCAGGAAGCCCTGCTTGGGAGTGCAGGAGGGGTGAGGGAGAGGAGAAGCACCCTGAAGGGAGGACTAGGCAGGGCATTTGGGAATGAAAGGATGATTAGCCGACTGGGATGATTACACAAACTTTACAAAGCAATGATTGGCCTTGCTGAGAACAGTTACAAAATATAAGAGAAGACGTGCAATTTTAAAAGTATGTGATAGCTTATGCTAAAAGCCAAACAAGATGTCTGTCTAAAGTAGCCACTTTTTAAATGCTTTTGAATCTGAATCAGAAAAGAGAACATAGGGACAAACCACAGAAGTTATAAAGAGAATTTTCCAGGACCCCCGAGCCTCCCTAGTGACACTCAGTTCAAAAGGGCAAGCTGGTATCTGAAGGACACAAATAGGGTGATTCGTGAGACCAGCCACATCTGACTTCCTGAGCTGCCTTTGGGGCTCTTGGGTTCAAATGCAAGGGACAGGTATAAAAGTGACATCTACAAACCAACATAGGATGTGTCCTTACCTTAGACAAGTCTTCTTTTCCAACAGGCTGTCCTCGGGGAGATGCAGGCATGGGTTCCAAGGGTCTGGCCTGCTGGCTTTGTCCTTCCACCCTCTGCTGGGCAACCTCCTCCTCTTCTGGGCATTTGCTCAATGGCTGCTCAAAGCTGCCATCCAGGAGCTGGGGCAGGGGGTCTTCTTCAATGGAGATGATTCTGCGGAGTACCCGGGGGAGTGGACCTTCAGCCCCTGGCTCCTCTTCTGGAAGGGGATATCCACTCAGGCCTAGGGAGCTTCTCCTCCGTGGGAGGACAAACACATCTTCTTCCTCCTCTGACTGGCTATTTCGGGGTAGGGAAGAAAAAGAGATGGGGAGAATATCATACAATATATTAATATGGAAACTGGAGAGATGCCTGATAGCTCTGTGACAAACAACTAACTGAAGAGCATCACAGCTTGGGGGCAGAGAGCTCCAAGAAAGGAAAAACAAAAAACAAAAAACAGACCCTGCATTCTCTAGCTCAGTCACCCAACACACTTCTGTAAGTGCTTAATTAATATGAAGGTGATAAGGTGGTGGTGATGATAATGATGAAGGTGGTGGTGATGATGATGGAGATGGTGCTGATGATGATGAAGGTGGTGGTGATGATGATGGAGGTGGTGATGTTGATGATGGAGGTGGTGATGTTGATAATGGAGATGGTGATGATGATGGAGCTGGTGATGATGACGGAGGTGGTGATGTTAATAATGGAGATGGTGGTGATGATGATGGAGGTGGTGTGATGACGATGATGGAGGTGGTGTGATGATGATGGAGGTGGTGGTGATGATGATGGTGGAGGTGGTGTGATGATGATGATGGAGGTGGTGATGACGACGATGATGAAGGTGGTGTGATGATGATGATGGAGGTGGTGTGATGATGATGATGATGGAGGTGGTGTGATGATGATGATGATGGAGGTGGTGTGATGATGATGGAGGTGGTGCTGATGATGAGGAAGGTGGTGGTGATGATGATGGAGGTGGTGATGTTGATAATGGAGATGATGATGATGTTGATAATGGCAATGGTGGTGATGATGATGGAGGTGGTGGTGGTGATGATGATGATGGAGGTGGTGGTGATGATGATGATGGAGGTGGTGTGATGATGATGATGGAGGTTGTGTGATGATGATGGAGGTGGTGGTGATGATGATGGAGGTGGTGGTGATGATGGAGGTGGTGTGATGATGATGACGGAGGTGGTGGTGATGATGATGATGGAGGTGGTGGTGATGATGATGGAGATGGTGTGATGATGATGATGGAGGTGGTGGTGATGATGATGGAGGTGGTGTGATAATGATGAAGGTGGTGTGATGATGATGGAGATAGTGTGATGATGATGATGAAGGTGGTATGATGATGATGGAGGTGGTGTGATGATGATGGAGATGGTGGTGATGATGAAGGTGGTGTGATGATGATGATGGAGGTGGTGGTGATGATGATGATGGAGGTGGTGTGATGATGATGATGGAGGTGGTGTGATGATGATGATGGAGGTGGTGGTGATGATGATGATGGAGGTGGTGTGATAATGATGAAGGTGGTGTGATGATGATGGAGATGGTGTGATGATGATGATGGAGGTGGTATGATGATGATGGAGGTGGTGTGATGATGATGGAGGTGGTGTGATGATGATGGAGGTGGTGTGATGACGATGATGGAGGTGGTGTGATGACGATGATGGAGGTGGTGGTGATGATGATGATGGAGGTGGTGTGATGATGATGATGGAGGTGGTGTGATGATGATGATGGAGGTGGTGGTGATGATGATGGAGGTGGTGTGATAATGATGAAGGTGGTGTGATGATGATGGAGATGGTGTGATGATAATGATGGAGGTGGTATGATGATGATGGAGATGGTGTGATGATAATGATGGAGGTGGTATGATGATGATGGAGGTGGTGTGATGATGATGGAGGTGGTGGTGATGATGGAGGTGGTGTGATGATGATGATGGAGGTGGTGTGATGACGATGATGGTAGTGGTATGATGATGATGAAGGTGGTGTGATGATGATGGTGATGATGAAGATGAGGAAGATGGTGGTGATGATTACCACCAGGTATTTAGCTAACGACACAGTCATGCACAGATGGACACAGCCCCTCCTCATGGCATGCTCAGCTTAGTGGGGGGCTGAAGCAGTAATGGCACAACTAAATACACTTCAACAAGCTATGAGAAACGCCAAAAAGGAAGAATAAAGGATGTGAAGAAAGGAGCATAAAAGATCTGGAAATAAAGCATTTTCAATTAACAATCAGGTGGCCTTGGCTGTGGTCACAATACCAGCCCCTTACTGACTGTGCCACCAGGGAAAACACTTCAACTCTTCCAGCCTTCAATTTCCTCACCATACAATGTGTCCTGCCTACCTCCCTAATAAGACAAAAGCATAAAAACAGATGCGTTTACAAAACAGCCCTCAGCAAAGTGAGTGAGGGGGGACTGCTGCTCTGGGAGGAGCCCCACCACTGGCTCAGAAGCAGCTGCCCATTTGTGGATGGGCTTGGGGTTGCAAGGAAGCCAGGCAGGGCACCTCTACCTGCCTTTCCTACCTTTCTCTTTCTCTTTCAATATCCCTGCCAGTCAGCGTCAGGAGTAAGTGGCCTCAGAGGCCTATGTGTATATTTGCTTCCAGAAGCATCTGAGCATCAAGAACAAAGAAAAGCAGAAGGAGGTGGAGGGAACTGGGCAACCAGACGTGAGCCAATGTATTCTCAGAAGGTTTTCGAGCAAAGACCTCATAGACCCTTCCTGCACACGAGTTCAGATCTCTGGGAACAATTAAAGCCGAGAAGGGTTTTAAATGGAAGTCTGACAGGGAGAACCTTGAGTCCCAAAATGAAACACACATGCACACACACATGCAAGGATTAGAAAGGAGAATGGAATGCAAATTAGGTGAGGAGGTGACAGGGCCAAAGGAGAAAGAAGGTAGGCGAAGGTCACAGAATATGCAGAACAGTGAAGCTCCCTTCATTGTGCCCCCAGGCTTATACTATTTATTCTTCCTAAGGACCAATAATAGGAAGGGAAAGGAAAAAAAAAACTGCATGTATTATTGTTCTGAAGTTAGGTGTAACTCCGAAAGATAAATTAAGATAGAGTGCTCACAAAAATGGTGACTTAATTTGGGTCCCTTGATACAAAATAAAGAATTCTGTAGCAATTCAGGGACCTTCCCACTTATTTATAAAATCATAGTTTTGAATAGAAGCTGACTGTCTTCCTTCCAACAAATTTCTTCTACAGTCTAACAAGCCTACGGACTGCTTATCCACTTTGGAACACAATTAGTATTCCATCCACTTTCACTCTGCTTACAAACGTGAGTGCATGTGTGCGTGCCCATGCAAACAAGTGTGCACATACATACACAGCATGTTTCTTGAAAGGCCTTGCAACCAGAAAAAAGAAATGGCCACTGAAACAGCCCTAAAATGAAGTATTTCTTGGAAAAACTTTTGATTTGGGAAATACTCAAGCATTGTTGACATCCTCTAAAATCCTCAGCTTAGCACGACTAAATTTATTTTTGGTTTTGCCATCAAAGGCTACATACGAGCAGCAGAGAGCAGTGGCTTCTGCCAAAGCCTGTCCTGGAATTCAGGGTGTGCGATTTGTTACTTACCTGCTTATTGTCTGTTTCCTTTCCTCCACCCTAAGCTCTACGAAAGGGTCTCTTTTGCTCACCACTGTATACCTAGCACATAGCAAAATATCTTGCACATAGTAGGCACTCAACAATGGACTCGTGTTTAATTTATTTTTGGAGACATCACAGAACTCAAAAGAATGTCTGGTACAGATTAAGCAATCAGTGAATGTTTGTTGAATGAATATATTCAGTGCTGAGCAACCAACAGGCCAACTATTATTGCAGAAACTTGGATCCCAAATTGTATCCCTCTGTTGAGCTATTTATTTTTTTTTTTAAGATTTTATTTATTTATTTATTTATTTATTTATTTATTTATTTATTTGAGAAAGAGAAAGAGAGAGAAAGCAGGGGGAAGAGCTGAGTGAGACGGACAAGCAGACACTGTGCTGAGTGTGGGACCTGACACGGGGCTCGATCTCAGGACCCCAAGATCATGACCTAAACTGAAATCAAGAGTCGGATGCTCAACAAACTGAGCCACCCAGGTGCCCCTCTGTTGAGCTATTTAGAGAAAGAGTTCAGGATGATTGGGTCCAAAGACTTGACCAATGAGCTCATCAACATCTCCAGAGTCACTTCCCTTTTTTGTATTGTGTATTTCATGCTTGCTGTCCTCAGGGTCTCCTGGATGAGCAAATTCATGCACTTTCTCCCTGGCTTTGATTCTTAGGGGTCTGGTTGCCTTTACCTTTCTGTGGCCATCTATGTGGATGGGACACATGCCAAAAAAGAAAAGAAGGTGGAGGACTGGCTTGTCTCTTTCAATGGGCGATGAGCCACTCCTCTGGGGACTCAAATTCGATTACTGTGCTGTCTAATCGAAACAAAAAAAAATGTTATCTTTGAGGTAATTAAATGTGAAGCACTGAGAGAAATCTGTCAAGCACAGGCCCCATTCCTGTTTGTAAAGCAGCTCAATTATTGGAGACGCCATCCCACACTTCAATTACCCTTCAGAGCCCAAACAGTCATGTCCCTGAAAAACCAGGTGCATCCATTCTGCCCAACAGAGAGTATCTTCCAGTCACGCTCCACCTCTCTCCTTTGACCCTTTTCATCCCCTCTCTCTGTCTCTCCTCTGCTGATCTACAGCACCTCTTCAGTTCCTATCTGCAGACACACACTAGAAGACCATGTCCTGTCCCAGGGACCTGCCCTGCACAGTCCCCCTCCCACTTGGATGTCAGAACAGAAAGGAACGTGTCCTCCAAGATTCAAGGGGAGTGAGTGCAAATGACTCTGGGCTTCCCCACCCGGGGCCACTTCTTGAGAGCCGATGGGTACAAGACAAAGGAACACATAATGAATGAAGAAATCAGGGATGACTTACCTCCTAAGAATCCCTCTGCTGTCCAAGTATTTGCCTATCACAGAGCCAGATCTCTGTTTCCAGTTCGCCTTGGAAGCAGCTGTGTTTGCCTTGGCTGCCTTATCTTTCTGTAGAAACACAAAATGCCCTCAGATCCACACCTGCTGATTTGTCCCAATGTTTGAGCAGAAAGGGCTCCACTTTCCCAACTCAAAGGTCAGGCTCTAAACCAAATTCTGAAGTAAGCAATGTTCTGGTCTCCCTGTTAGCATTCTCTTACTCTTTCCTTTTGCTATTGTTTCTCATCAGGATCCCTCCATCCCCTGCCCAACAATCTAATAGAACAAATCAATACACAGTTTAGAGCTTGGGGTCCACCTTGTTACCCTTCACAGCAGTACTAGCAATTTGCAAGATGACAAGAGATTATGTGGAAGGCATAGGAAGGTATGAATGGGCAGAAAAGACTGTGCATCTTTAAATCACACTCATCTGTGTGTCTCCAACTCGTCTTTATTTCCAAAGCCCCAGAAATGAGAAAGGGACCAGCCCTGAGGATCGATTAACCTGGTGCCCCGCGGCAAGTGGGGGCTCACAACCCTGCTCACGGTGCTCCCCAGCAGATGTCTCCCAGGACATGAGGGGGAGTTAGATCATAGGAGGAATCTCTCATTAACCAGCTATCCCCACGATTCCCAGTGATTCTTAATGAGAGAAGGAGGGACTGCAGTGCTCCCAGGGCCCCTGAAGGTATGGCTATAATGATTCCAAATTAATCTTTAATTATTATTCAGCATGAACATGATTTTATCCCTCTTTCTTCTATTCCCCACTAAGATTCTTAATTCCATTTCCTTTTCAAAGCAAAATGAGTTTGGCAGGTGAAGGGAAGTGAGGTCAAGGGATTAGGGTGACATTTGGTTGGAAATTTTAAAACAAATTCAGTGTTACTTCTAAAACAATTATAACCATTATCATCATCAAACAAACATGTGTAGGCTGAAGCCTTGCTCTGACAGTACATAGAGGTGGGTGGTAGAGAAATTTGCTGCCAGTCAGTGGCAGGAAAGAAATGGGGGTATAACAAGTTCTCCCCAGGGATTTTTAGTTGTGAACCAGCTGCCGTATGCTGACCACATTCAGGCCACTGTCCAGCTCAGGGCCCAGAGCCTATGACCCTCCTCTTTGCAAGAGTTTTTCTCAAAAATCCCTATAATATGGAAAAAAGGATAGGATTTCCTCATGTGAGAGCTGGGGTCATGTTTGGGCAGGCTGATGACTTGCCCAAGGACACATGAGAAATGCATGATGTACTAGATCCTGATGATTAGGAAGTTGCATCGGTGAATCCTGTCCTCCTTTTCTGTCCCTTCGGAGCATCCAGTGGCTCCTATCTAAAGGGGAAGATGAGTGGGAGAACATGGCATCCTGGATTTTGTTTAATGTAGCTCAAAGTGAAGACCTGTAAATCCATATAGGATTCTGTGCTATTTGGGAGAGTATGTAAGTGTGGTGTTCAGGTACAGAGAAACAGGGGTCCTCGTAGGGTAAAAAATGTGTACTTAAAATCAACGATGTTAATAGTGAAATATACATTTTTAATTTGTTCTATGATGGTATAAAAATGCAAATTTTTCATCAAGAGATTAAACATGTCAATGAAGGGGGGAAAAAAAAAACCTGTGAGCATTTTGGTTAAAAGTGATCATGATATTTCAACTATGCCATCTCCTGGATAGATCTACCATGTCCATGTTGAAGCGATCTGTGACCCTCTTAAATATTTTAGTCTCTTTATGCCAAGAGGCAAGTGTGTTACTTCATCAAAAATTCACACACTGCTACTCAGAAGGCCACCCTGCATTTTTATTATTAAAAAAAAAAAAATCCATGCCATTGTCTGCTCACACAGAAAGGATGAGCCAGACGTCAAGGACATTCTTGGGCCGGTCCCAGCACGGGCTCTGGCTGCCAGTGGACCCAAATCCGGTTGGGAAAAGGAGCATGGGGCAATTACCTGATAACATATGTCCCGTTCATCCTGAAGATGCTTGTTCCTTTCCCTGCAAGTGGAAAAGGGGTATCTATTCAGACATGGTGTTTGCAGTGGATAGATCCAATAGTGGCCGGTTTGCCAGGGAGATGCGCGCAGAGAAAATCTTGACGTGGAAAGCCCAGGGAGTGTGTCTTTCCTTGGGGATTGTGACAGAGGCTAGTTTGTGTGTAAGTCGGCTGGAGGCTGGGGGACAGACAGATCCTTCAGGATCATGCACTTCAGGATCCTACCACTAGGGAGAGCCTCCCCTAGAGGGTAACCAGGAGTTCCCGCAGCACCTGTGAGCTTGCTATTGGGTGCGTGTGCTCTTTCTCTGACCCATTCATTTCATGCATGCGTGCAGTCACTCAACAAATGTCTCCTGAGCACCCACTCCATGCTCAGCACGGTTCTAGCTACCAAGGTTACAAACAATGAATAAAAGAAAGAGTTCCTGTCCCCAGGGAATTTTATTTTAGTGCAGGGGTCATTGCTATTGAGAAAGACGAAGCCGGCATATGGAAAAAAGAGTGTCAGAGGGTGCAGTGGTATCTCAGTAGGGCACTCAAGGAGGCGGCATCTGAGTGGAGACTTGCAGGAGAGGGGAGCTATGCTGATATTTGAGGGAAGAGCATCACAGACAGAGGAGATGGCTAGGGCAAAGCCTGGAGTCAAGCTCTACAGGATGTGTGTGAGGAAGAGAAGGGAGGGCATCAGAGTGCTCGGAGGAGAACCATTAGGACATGAGGTCAGAGAAAGGTGGGGGGACACGTAGAGACCTGATCATTCGCGGTCTTGTGGGCCATTGTAGGAACTTGGGATTTTACTCCAAAAGAGATGTGAGGCCATGGAGGGTGGGGGAGTGGCAGCAAAGTGTCCTGATCTCACTCAAGTTTTATAAGGAGCCCTACAGTATAGATGCTGGGTTCCCAAGCACGTGTTCCTGAGTGTCCTGAAATTGTTTCCATTTGTCCCTTCCTTCTCCTGTCACATCCCAGCCATTGTCCCAATTCCCCCACTTCCTCCCCCCAATCTCCAACTCCACATTCCCGCTATCGCTCGCCCAAGCATTCATTATCTCTCTACTTGACTCCTTTTTCCCACTGCTCTCTGTCACTACCTGGTGATTTCACTGTGGAGGAAAAATCGGCCACATCTGGGCTGTCAGCAGCTGCAGAATCTAAGCTTGTAAAGCATGCGACAGCACAGAAATGCTTCAGGCATGTGATTCTGCACAAATGCTGGTCTCTGAAGAGACCCATACGCAGAGAGCTGCCTTGTTATTCTCCTCTGCTCATTCGCTTGAATCTGTCCTTTTCTTCTAAGTACAAAAGAAAAAAGGAAAAAAAACCGCAAAAACTTGTCCTTGTACATCTTGTTCTCTTGCTTCCACTAAAGCTTCCTAAGAATCAAGACCTGCTCTCAAATGGATTAGAACGTGGCCATGTCCCATTCAGGTTGGAGCACTTTTCCATTTGGAAGCATCACAGATGCCAGACAGACACAGTAACCTCACCTGGCTTTCAAATAAAACAAAATAAAAACTGGGGCGCCTGGGTGGCGCAGTCGGTTGAGCATCTGACTCTTGATTTCGGCTCAGGTCATGATCTCAGGGTCCTGAGATCCAGCCCCGCGTCAGGCTCCATGGTCAACACGGAATCTGCTTGAGATTCTCTCTCTCTCTCCCTCTGCCCCTCCCCCTACTCGCTCTCTAAATAAATAAATAAACAAATAAACAAAACAAGTCCGAGTGTCCCCGATTCAAGACCACTCACTGCACTTCATCACCATTCCCAAGAGGCGTTTGGCAGACAGAAGTAGCTTGGAAACCTCACAGGCAAAAGTGAAAACCCCATCTTTCCACACACAGGTTTTGTTTTGGGTTTGGTTCTGGCACATCCCAGACCAATGAGCTTTGAATTTACAGTGAGTTTTAGCGAGCTAAGGAAACTCTAAACTCCTTTGCTCTGTTTGTGCTCCTCCGTTAATTTCTCTATCAGCAACTGCCCTCCTTTCCTGAGTTTCGTTGAAGATGAAAGGGTACCAAATCTGCCATAGGGTAGCAGCTCAAGAAACTCAGTTCCCCTCCTACTGGAGCAAGTACGACACAAGGTGCTGCAAGAGATGCCACGAAGAATGAGGCAGACCCCACCTGCAGGGGTACAGACTGGAGAGGGATGTGAGCGTGTGTGTGAATGGGCCAAATGTGATACGCTGGGGATCAGGGGAATGAGGGCATTCTCTCGGTGTCTATGACCGTCCACAATGGAGGCAGGGAAGACTCTCAGATTGGCCCTTCCCACTCCAGGCACCCGGGATGTGCTCTCGGAACACACCCGGTGCTCACGCACCTCAGGAAATCCAACTGCTTCAGGAGCCCCGACTTCTCGCGCTGCAGACTCTCCGTCACGCGGTACACTTCCCTGAGGAGGAAGCAAACACAGCACTTCTGAGCTTCCATTCTGGGGATGCAAGCTACCACAGTGTGAGGGGCTGTGCTGAAGTTGGATGCCCAGGACCCTCCCACTGAAACCCAGCCGGCAGTACCCCACCCTGGGGACACGGGGGGTTAGAGGAATATGACTCCCTTGGAGAACACCTGCTATTGGCAGGTGGTTTCAGCCATGATCTCACTTATCAGTACAGATGCCCTATTTGGGAGGTAAAATTACCCCATTTCATAGACACAGACAAAGTGTCAGTAACTCTCCCCATGTCACACAGACAATCCATGACTGAGCAGGGTTCTAATCTAGATTAGGACCTTCTACTACCAAACCGATGAACAGGGCTCCCTGCCCAGGCTCCAGGTGGTCCTGCCCTGCCCAGAATTCAGAGAATTAGAACCAACATTCTTCCTCAGCCCCATCTTAGAGGGTGAGAGCAGAACTTGTATTTTTTTCCCCCCTGACACTGGTTGTGTTTGTTTCCAGGAGCTCCAGAAGAATCATTCCTCCTTCCCCATTTTCCCCTATAAGTCTCCAATCTGTTCATAGATCTCTGAAATTTCCACTGTTGGCCATTCATTTCTTTAATTTAGGATTTCTTTTCTTTTCTTTTTTTCAAAGATTTTATTTATTTATTGGACAGAGAGAGACACAGCGAGAGAGGAAACACAAGCTGGGGGAGTGGGAGAGGAAGAAGCAGGCTTCCCGCCGAGCAGGGAGCCCAATGCGGAGCTCAATCCCAGGACACTGGGATCATGACCTGAGCCGAAGGCAGATGCTTAATGACTGAGCCACTCAGGCGCCCCTGATTTAGGATTTCTTATCTCTAGCCAGCAAGCAGAGATTAAATGTGTCAATTACAATCAGACGCTTATATCAGTGTGAATGTGTCAATCATGTCAGGAGTTTTGAGGAAGGGGAGGGAGAAGCTTAGAGGTAGCTGGGGTGTCTGGAGAGCAACTCAGAGGGTGAGGCAGGGGCCGTGTCTGGTTTGGTCCGGTGTGTTTGCATCTCTACGGAGCCCAGTATCCAGCATGAAAGCTTAATCAACAAATAGCAGTAAGAAACAAAAGGAGAGTGGGAGAGGGAAGAAGGAAGGCAGGGATGGAGGAAGGAAGAGAGGAAGGAAGGGGTGAGTTGGGGAGGTATTCAATACCACTCAGGGAAGAAAGAAAAAAAAGGAAAGCCGAACTGGGTGACATTGGAAAATAAGCCTTGCTGAACTTCACAACTTTGCCTCCAACCTTCCTCTGTGCTCTGCACCGGTTTAGAAATGTTTGAATCACTCCTAAGCTTACTGCAAAAGGTCTATAGTTCCAGATTTCCAAACCATGGCAGGGCTTCTAGTGTAAGGAGCATCTTCCAGCCTCACAAATGTGTGCATTTCCACAGACTGTCTGGGCTCCCCGGATTGTGCCCACACCGGGCTGGGCAAGGACAGTCACACACACACACACACACACACACACACCCCCGCCGCTGCCCCCTCAATGTCATTACTGAGCTGGTAAAAACAGCACCTGCTTGCTCCATCCATCCAGACTTGGGCCAAACTCACCATAATCAGATTCCTTAAAAGGTATCGGTGTGTTTTTTTTTCCCCCCTTATAGAATAATTATAAAGTCATTTACAACAAAACAGATTGAATCAAATTCTAAGTTCACCTCAGACAATCCTAATTAAGCAACAAAACTTCTCTAGCTCCTGCAGCGCTGCAAATTCCTAACATTTTATTACCAATTATATTTAATTTCAACTTGAGGGAAAACAACGTATTTTCCATTACCCAAACCGGGCCCCCAAGTCCCTGTGTAGGATTCTGCTGTGATGGGCCCTCGGGAGCACGGCTGTCTGCGTGCTGCCAACCGAGCCCCGGTCACCAGGGTGGCTTTGTGTTTCCTCCGGCCCAGCCCTGGGTTCTCATTCTCAGCCAGGAGCAGACAGTTTTGCCCTGCTAAGGACAATCACTCCTTGGAAATCGGAGGTGTGTGTTCTCACAGAGTGCTTGATTTAGGAGCCAGTTCCTAAAAGGCAAGGCAGTCCGGTCTCTGCCCTGTTTACATGGCACCAGTTGACTGCTGAAGCCACACAAACACACCCGTATGTACGCACATATGTTACATATCGACGCGAATATAGGTCTACCTATTTGTCTAGTAAACATACATCTGTTTAGATCCATACACATATTCCGGCTTTTTGTGTGTTAACAAAAAGAAGGGCATTCCTGAAAAACCAAATGACACTTGGACATTTGACCAAAGGACCTTCAAAGTCCTTCTAACGAGACGTCGTAAAGGTTTATACTGGGTAATCTGCGGACTGAAAGGGAAAGAACTTGGCATTTTTCATAGGAGTGACTGGTGAGAGGTTTATGGTTGTCTTTAGAGAACGGCTCTTGGCTTTGTTTTCTGGAGAGGGATGAGTCAGGAGCATCTCCAAAATATATTGTCAAGTGAAAAACGCAGGCTAATGCAGAACAGCGTGCTGCCACTTTATAAATGAGAAGTGTGCGTGTGCGTGCACGTGCACGTGCTGGTAGATACATAGAACACTCTGGAAGGATCCACAAGAAACAGGACTGGTGGCCTGGCGATCGCAGGCCCGGAGTCATGAGTGGGGCACGGGGCACACAGGCCTCTTTTTGAGTATATATCCTTTTGTGCCTTTGGGATTCTGTGCCTTGTCATAAACTCCCTACCCTAAACAAAAATTCATTAACCAAATAAACAGAGAGGTACAGCTTTTCAGCTGAACCTTCATCTTTATATTATCTCTCCTGCTGGATTGTGCCTTCTTTATCTTATTTTAAAATCAAGTACTCCTTCCTTGAGCAACTTCAGAGAAGAGAAAAATTAATTTTGCCCGTTCAGAATTCTAGCTGATAAATGACTAAGTCTTTTTAGCCCCTATTCCTATTCCATCCTCTCCCTTCCCAGCTGTTCTGGTGCAACATCGGGCAGCAAGACGTTGTGCGGGGGGAGCGCATGCTATTGGGACGACTAGGCTCTGTCCCTGTTTTCTGGCGCTAACTAGCTGTGTGGCTTGGGGGCGGTCACGGCACTTCATTGAGCCTCAGTTTCTTTGTTCATAAAGTGAAGAGGTGGTTAGAGCACTCGGGTTCTGTCTGTACTGTTGCTCTGGGATTCTGCTCTACAGAGAACAAGCTAAGGCTCTCTCTGCCCTTGTCTCCTGACCTCCCTGGACAGGACCCTCGCTCCTGGGCTCCCAGCACGCTTTCTCACTGCAGCATTGTGCGCTTTCTGAAAGCAAGTCACGAAGGTTCGGAAATCATTTCTCTCTCCCTCCTAACCCTCTTTTTCAATTCCCAGCCTCCAGAGATTGTGTCTCTGGCTTGGTTAATTAAGATAAGACTTCAGAAAGATTTTAATCCTCATGCTGTGATTTGATACCCTAGCACTGGGTGCTTATTTCCATTTGCTGTTCTAATGCTGTGCCTTCAGATGTTTGTTGTTTTAGCACTTGATTGAATTTTAAGAGCCTGAATCCTTAATTCTGTTTGTAAAGTTAAATGCCTGCACCTTGTTGGCCTGCTCTCAGTGAGGAGGAACTGATTTTGCTCGTTTACAATGAAATACACAGTCCTGCCACTGGTCATCCGAGAATCGGAGGGAAGGGTTTTGTTTTGTTTTAAGTCAGTTACTCGACAATACATTTTTTTGTTTGTTTGTTTTAAACTAGAGAAGTCTTACCAGGGTAAAACTCCACATGCAAACACATTTCCTCCCTTTCGACCCAGGCAATCAGTCCCAAGCCGCAGAGCACACCCAGAACAATGGGATTTGGGCCAATGGACCCAAATGTTGCCAGCAGTCAGACAGAGGGAGGGCTTTCACTTTTGAACAAGGGGAAGGTTAGCGTATGTAAAACTCAGCACTGCTAAGCAACACTGTCCTCTGAAATCAGACTCTCTGCAACATCTGGCACAGGGCCAGGCCCACGTGACCTTCTGCAGAAAGAATGAAGGGAACGAATGAGAGCCTGAGCGAATAATGAGTGAGCGATGGCCAGTCCTACTCCTGAGTCAATATTTTCTGGCCGGCTCATTATGCACTGTGGGGAGTCAGCCAGATGCGTCTAGCCCTGAACATCGTGTGACAGTTACTTAAGACCCCTTGACCCTGGGCTTCCTCATCCACAGAGTGGATACTCACAGTCCTGCCACAGCAGGATGCTATCAGGTTCTTATGGAATAATGTCAAATTATTGACATAGGGGTAATACACGGAATGCACAACACAGTAAAACCAACGCAGAGTAGTTTTCAATAAATGTTTGACAAGTGACTAAGTAAATGAATGTGTGGGTAAATGCGTGAACAAATAAACAAGGGAGATCCCCGTCCCTGGGCACGCCAAGGAGTGCATTTGTTCTCAGAAGCTAATGCTCCCAAGACAAGATAAATGGCTGGTCCCGCAGCAACTCCTCAGGCTCAGCATGCAGACCCAGCCCTTGATCCTTCCTCACACATGCCTCTCCCTAGCAGGCCGAGCTGGCTGGTTGCACGCCCAATGCAGCTCAGTGGCGAACTGGGCCCTGAGAGACGTGGGGCTCCCCACACTGGGCCCACACAGAGAAGAGAGTGGGCAGACTGGAGCAAAGATTCCAAGGAACTGTCACACACTCCATCAGATTCTATGTTGACCTCAGAAGCCTACCTCCTTCTTGTCCTGGGTCTTCCTAGTCTCTCAACTATGACAGTCACCTCTCTCTCTCTCTCTCTCTCAAATAACTAAAACCTTTAAAACAAATTTAAAAATTAAAATTAAATTAAAAGGGGCAGCTGGGTAGCTCAGTCAGTTAAGCAACCAACTACTGGTTTCTGCTCAGGTCATGATCTCAGGGTCCTGAGATGGAGTCCTGCATCAGGCTCCATGCTCAGCAGGGAGTCTGCTTCTCCCCCTCTTTCTCTCTCTGCCCCTCCCCCCCACTCTCATGTGTTCCCTCTCTCTCTCTCAAATAAACAAATAAATCTCCTAAAAAATAAAACAAACCATGACAGTCACGGGTGCTGCTCCTCACTCAGCCTTTTCTCAATGACTGCCTTACATTTATTGGTTGGATAACACGTCTTTCTCATCACATAGTAAATTTTCCCAGAACAGGGTTGTAGATGTCCTATAAATCCTAGATTATGCTTGCCATAGTCTGCTTACTGGCCTCCGGATCCCAGAAGAGATTTTCAGGGAGCAAGGAACCCCCAAGCCCCACGTGACAGGCAAGGTGACAGGGTCTCCAGGAGAGGAGATGGCACGCTCACAGCAGGGGTGGAGCCCGCGAAGGCCAGACTCACATCTCCTTGTCCTGGTGGAGTTGGTGGGCCTCTTGCTGGAGGCTTTCCAGCTGCTGCTGGGCATCCTGCAGCTCCCGGGAGGTCCGCGCCAGCTCCTGGGCCAGCTCCTGGTTTGTGACTTTCAGCTTGGTGTTCTCAGCCTTGGTTTCATGCTCATCATTTTGTAGCATGGCGCACTGGCCTTCCAGCTGGAAAGGAAAGTGGGGGAGCTGAAGGGAATGATAAGCAGCTACCATCCAATCTGGCCTGCCCCCCACCCCCTCACTTCCTGCATCTGTGGGCCATCTCGGCCAGCCATCCCTGCCCCAGAGCCTCAACAGGCTTTGTCCTGTGCCTTAATTCACACCGATGCACTTTTGGAGGCAGGGGGTATGTTTCAGAGCACATCTCATCTTTCCCCTGCCTCCAAGGGCTCCTGAACAGTCCAGAGGGAGAAGAACCATTCACAAAGACCGCTAGGAAAGGAGGTCACCAATCCATCCGTGTTGCCCATCCCAGTGATGATAATGCTGATCATTATCATCTCACCTGTGGTCTTGAGAGCTAACTTCAACCCTTCTTGTCCTTTCAGCCAACTGTCTCCCTCAGCCCCGATGAACATGGAAGGCAGCTAAGTGGCGTTCTCCATAAAACCATCCTTCCCAGTTCTGAATGCTGACAGTAAGTCTATTTATCCCCTTTTCTTCTCTCAGCTAACCAAGGCCAATTCCTTTAATCTAGAGAAACTTTGTATGGTGGCCAGAAACCCTGGAAATTCTTAGGAAACAGCTAAAACAGGTCAAACCAAACACATACCTTGTTTCATGTCCCTAAAGCAACTAAAAAAAAAAAAACAAAACAAAAAAACACAAAACCCCCTGCATTTGTATAAGTGCAGATTTTCTTGGCTGGTGCTTCTGCTTTGCAGAGCTTCCAACCCTCTCACCAGAGGAGGAATCAAACCAAGGCAAATATATCATAATAAATTGAGTTTAATGAATGTGGCCAGTAAGGGGAGGAGGAAGCTGCAAGAAGGAATTTTGTGTGATTCTCAAGAGGCCCCTGTGTAATCAGGCAAGCATGCAGTAATTAAACCGAGTGGCAATCATTCATTTCAGGGATAAGTCTAATTGGTAACAACTTAATGCCGAACAGTGACGAGGAGAAAGAGTAGGAGAAGCTCGGGCTGTGGCCAGGGCAGGGGAAGGCAGCTGAAGTTGAAATGATCTTGCTTGCAGAAGGAAGAAATCCAAATCCACAGGTCAGGCAGCAGCTGGAGTGGGACAGTCTCTAGATTTCAGCATGGGGCAACTTCAAGCATATTCTAATGTGTTGCTAAAAATAGCCCTCTCTATTCAAACGGAAGCAATGTGTCTGGGTCTGTGCAGGGCTGGATTCCTTCCAGTGCCAGACAAAACAAAATGGGGGAGGCCAAGTGGCACCGTGGCCTTTCTCCCCGACGAGCCCTCGCTTTGGAGAGGCTGCGAGTGTGAAGTTTGCCCAGGTAATCAGTCTTCCTGGGGTCATTAGCCAGCCCTACACAGTGCACCACCCAGACTGCCTCTTGGGGCTCAGGTGCATGGCAGGCACATTTGGTGTCTGCCTACCTCCTGCGGGGTGATGGGAACAGCCACCAAAGAAAGGCTGATGGACCTTTTCTGGGCACATAGGAAGACAAGGGATGGACAAATCGATCTTTAAAGAGCCTCTTCCTACTGGAGGTATCCGTGGCCATCCTGGCAGGAAGACATCACTGTCTGCAGTGTCCCCCAAAGCCTCAGCGACTATGTCCCCTGTATCTCAGCATCCCCCTCTTTTCTGACACAGGATGCAGGAAACGAGTGGACATGTTGGCATTCTGGTGGCTCCTGGGCATAATTAGAGGATGATGTCTTCAGATGCCTCTAGGGAGAACTCTTGGCAACTTGCCCAAATGTAACACCTGGCACTGGAGAGGTGAAGGCTTTATCCTGGCGTCACCTGTGATTTCAAATGCTATCTTTTGTACAGCTCAGTGGTTCTTCTGGGATTAAAAACAGACAAACAAACAAACCCAAGTCGTCCAGTGAATAGTGGGGAAAGTGGGCAAAAGCCAGCGGAGGATGGAGGGAGGAGCCGGGGGCTCGGAGGCCATGACCAAAGCATACCCGCTTCTGCTTCTGGATGAGCTGCTCCAGCTCCTGGTTCTTCGACAACAGTTTCTGCTCCAGCTCCTGGCTGTGGGCCTGAAACCTCTCCGTGTCCTGCCAGGCAGGAAAGAAGGGGACGTGAGGCCCAAGTGCCCCTGGGATGCAGATTTTTTCCCCCCACCTCGTATCTGCTCAACAGCAGGGCCCAGCCATCCTTTTGGACCTCGGGGCCCTTCCTACAACATTCCAGGGCTGCGGTGCCCTGCCTGCCCAGCGGTGAGGCCCAGCGAGACGGAGAGACGGCAAGTGCTCCGCAAGGCATGACACCAGCTCCCACCAAGTGTGACCACCACCAATGACAGTGCGCTGCCCCCCTCCCCCCGAAGGAGGCAGCCTCAGTTAGTGGTGCAGTCCTGAACACGGAGAACAGAACAGGGGCCTGAGTTTGAATCCCGGGCCCCCATCTCCCCACCTGTAAATGGGGGGTGGGGTGGAATATCCTTCTAACATGCATATTCTGTTCCACGTTGGGTACTAGCATTCGATCCCTTAACACAGGGCATCGCTTTTTCCCCTTGAGGGTCTACGTCCTCGCCATTTCCCACCGTGATTGAGATGTCCCAGCCCTGCTCTTTGTGAAGTCTCTGCCCCTGTGCTCGACAGCACCCCCTTCCTGCCCTACAACTGGGCTTCCCTGCTCCAGAAGCTGACAACGTAGTGTGAAGGGTTTTGGGGTGGGGTAAAGAGAGAACTGTGTGGCTTGTCGGGACGGCTGACCCTCTCGGAGCCTGGTCTGGTGTAAAGGCCCTCAGCTGGGCGTCAGGAGACTGGGGTTCCAGCCCTGGCTTACTTCATTCGCCTATCATTATTTCTTTGTTCACATGATAGAAACAAAAATATGCAGGCACCTGCAGCTCTCCACTCTGCTGAAGGCAGAAAGGAGGTGCAAAATGTGCAGGAAGAGAAGAAACCATTACCCGAGCCCCTGGGGGGGTGGGGGGGGCAGCTGTGGGATGCCGCACGCTCTGGGGACTACGAGGTTGGGCACGATGGTGTCCCCAGGGAAGCGGGGGGGGGGGCACAAAACCACTCTCAGGTACAGGTCTTTGGACACCTCCGTTCAAAGGCTCAGGATCAGCCTGGGCTCATCATCATCAGCCACTACCCGGCTCCTCAGGCAGGGAAAGGGAGCTCGGGGAGAGCCTGCGATGGTCCTCCTGTCAACCACATGCAATGGCAGAGGCAGGGCTGGACCAGGCAGCGCCTGTTTGCAACTCTTTTACCAGGGACCCCGCTTCACTCAGCCTGGGGCATCGCTCACAGAGTGGGCGCCCTGCGAACAGTGCCGGGGCGAGGGGGCAGGGGGCGGCTCCAGAATTCTAGCGCAGATGCTGCCATCCCCACAGTGGGCTTGCGGAGGATCTTACTGAGCCCCCCCCCCCCCCCCCCCCCCCCCGGCACAGAGCCTTGAGGGCGCCTCTTATCCCGGAGCTGGAGCCAGAGCGTGCAAGCGATTAAGCATTTCCCTCACGGTCAAACAAACTGCTCCGTGTAGCGCCAGGAGCCAAGCCCCGGCCAGAAGGGCCAGCCCTTCCCATGCTGTCCCAAACTGTAATGCCACTGTCCTCACTCTGGGACCAGGCAAAGGCCTGTGTCTGCAAAGCCCAGCACATCTCAACAGTTTCCATGTTTCCGCAAAAGGCGTACATCTAAGCACCGGGCCTGAAAGGCCTGGGGTACTAAGCAGGGGAAGGGGGACCAGAGGGTGGGTGAAGGGGTACAGCAGTGTCGTCACATCACCTTAACATGATATGAATGTGTCCTTGAAGTTTTTCCTCCGACCTCCTCCCGTTCCCAGTTCCCATGCCTTGGCCCACCTTTCACTTCTAGAAGCATGCTTCCTTCTTTAGCTAGGACCTTTGACCTGTAGTCACGGCCTAGAAGCAGATCATCTGGGGTCAAGGGAGTGGCTTTCCCACTGCAAGGAGGAAAGCGGCCGCTGTTCTCAGAAACTATTTTAGGGTCCCCTGGGTGACAAGTGTTTGAGTTCTGTCGGCCTTATACTCACCCAACTACGCTGAAGGTCAGGGGACAGGCTGAATGTTTTAAAGCTCCAAAAACAAAGAGTGGGGTAGAGTCTGGAAATATTGACAAGCCTTCAGAGGGATCTAGCTGGAGAACATGACTGGCTTTTTCTGGAAAGCATTCCAACCCCACCTCAATTTAAATGGCATCTATGATAATAAATAGAGCCTTGGTGTGGATAATCCAACCAGCATAAAATTAAAAATTGGTTCAAACCAACCTGCATTTAGGAGGAGGGATGGGGTTGTGATAATGGCCAGGTTCGGTTCTGAGAGGCAGGGGACGACGTGGTCTCTACGTTGTATCCCCAGAAGTCACATGTTGAAACTTAAGCCCCAAGGTGATGGCCCCGAGGAGGTGGGGCCTTTGGGAGGTGAGTGCGTCATGAGGGCAGAGCCCACAGGAGTGGGATTAGAGCCCTTATTAAAGGGCACTTGCCTGTGCCCTCCGCCCTGTGAGGACACAGCAAGAAGGCCACAGCCAAACCCAGGAAGTGGGCTCCCACCAGAACCTGACTCCCCCGCTGGCCCCCTGAGTTTGGACTTCCCGGCCCCCAGAATTGTGAGAAATAAATGTTTGTTGTTTATAAGCCACCTGTTTATGGCATCGTTGTAATAGCAGCCTGAACGAAGGGAGGAGGCTACCATTCGAGATTAAAGACTTTTCTGCTGAGAACCCACCAAGCTGGATGATCCAAAAATAGATAAGAGAGAGTTTCCTGTAGCTTTGTTTTATAAATATGTTCCCCAAAGGCCCCTGCTTAGCTTGCAAAAGGGGAGAATTTCACCAATTCTGACTTCCCAAGACAAACAGCAGGGCTTGGTAGGAAGCTAAATGCCAGATGAGGAACAGGGGATGCATGTTTTAAATGTTCTCCCACAGTGTCCGAGAAGGGTGGGATTTGACTTGTCTTGGGTATTAAATTTTCTAGGTGTCTAAGGGAAAGGATGGGAAGCATAGACTCTGATGATGGCCCCTGAGAAGAGTTGCTGGACACGGAGTGGAATGGACTGCATCTGGGTGGGCCTGCCACATAGCTCTGGGGACCAGCCCGTGTCAGACCCTGTCTTCAAGCTGCTGCGATGGGCAATGCATGTACCTTCATCCTTTCGCTCATTTATTCATTCATTCCTTTGTCCCTTGTTCATTCAGTGATTCAACACATGTTTGTTGAGGACCTACTACGCTCCAAGCTTGGCTGAGGTGCTGAGGACGCATTAGCAAGTGAAAGAAAGATTCCTGCTCTTGTGGAGCTTTCAAGTTAGTAGGAGACAGACCCCAATCAACAAAAATAAAGAAGGAAATTAAATGCCACATGTGAGGGTGACAGATGCCTTGAAAAATCTAAAGCAGAGAAACAGGGAACCCACGGTGCCACGGGTGGGGGTGCTGCAATCTTCAACTTGGGGTGGGGGTCAGAGCAGGCGATCTTTTCCCCGGGCCCTCAGAGCCGAGCCCTGGTGTGGACTCTTACTTTTAGGAGAAACTGCTCCTTCTCATGCTTGATTTGCTGTTCCATCTCCTCGTAGAGATGCTGGATTTCTTCATCATAAGCAGCAATTTTCCTGCAGAGGCGGCAGAAGGAGAGTTTCATGAGGTCTACACCCAAGTTCCTTTATCCTACAGCACATGTCCTGGGGCCCAGGCACCAGGACCCCGTCAGGAGCTTGGGTTGGTGGGGGTGACTGCGTAGGTCCCCATCCGCCGAAGCTGCGAGATCAGTTCCTCAGGATTAGCGGACCACGCAGGCCTAGCAGGACCTTCTCCTCCTCCTGGATGAGGAGGCCATCATTTCTAGATGACCCCTACACTCCTCAGTGAGGCTTCCCTGGCTCCATCTTCCTTAACGTCGCTTTATTTCAACAACGAGCCCCTGGCCTCTGCTGGACGGACCTCCCTATTGTCCGCTGGTCCCTATACCTATAGTCAGCATAAAGTTGTGTTGTGCGGGCTTCTTTCCTATTTGGGTTCTTGGTTGCTCTCCTTCCCACTTTGGATGCTTTCTTTCTACTTGGCTACATTAGCATGGTCTGAACGGCACAGTCAGAGGGCTCTCCCGAAACTGTGTGCTCGTGTGATGCACATTGCTCAGAAAATGTCAAAAGATTCCATGATAAGGACAACCACTGACACCACGCCCCCGACAAAGGAAGGGGGGGCCACACCTGTCCAGTGCTCATGCCATCTCAGGTCCAGGGCCCCAGGCAGACAGCACGAGAAGGGGCAGGCTGGTTCAAGGCAGGCGGTGATGATGAGATGTCCTCATCCCCCTGCCAGCATCTTCTTCTTACACTGAGGACCCCCACAGGACGGGAAGGAGATACCTGGGTACCCTGCTCCTATATAGAGACCAAGACAAATACGGCTTTGGGAACAAGATGTATAGGTCATCTCTGGTGTTGTCCAGATAGGTCTTCCTTTGAGTGCCGCCCCCCACCCACGTCCAAATTCAAACAAGAAGGCTGAAAATTTGAACAGAGATGGAAGTTATCTGGCCAAAGCATCCCAGGGGACTGCACCGTGACACCTCTTCTCTGACCTGCACTGAAAGTTTCTCTCTGGCTCAGTGCCCCCTGGTCCTCTTTCTCACCTGTTAAGGGGAAGAATCCACGCTCAGGAGCAGGCTGATGTCTTGGTTCTCAAGGTCTGTTTTGAACCTACTCATACTATAACATTTGGCACTTGCCATTCTAAACTCAAATGGTGGCAAGTCCCCTCTGCCCTTTATCCAAGGAATGAGACTTTAATAACGAAGCAAAGGGCTCTGGTTTTCAGTTCTAAGGGGTACTGGGAAGATTTCTGAACAAAACATCAAGGATGGCAACGTGCTTATTCCTCTGAGTCCTTCATCGTTTTAACCTCCACCTCCCTGATGTCCGCTCAGGACTCCAATCTAGTGTCAGGCCTTCCCTGCTGCCCAAGGATGTCCCTTCCTCACTTGCTACCTGTGCTACACAGATGGAACGTGACTAAGGAGCCATTCTGCCTGGCATCCGTCCAGGTCTACAGGAACCACAAAAGTGACCCAGACAAGGAACTGGTGTGAGTCGTCATGGCCAAGGTCACTCATATCGAAGCAGAAGCCTCTAAGTTCCCTCTCTTGGCTGTACCCCCAAAGCCAGAAACCTTTGGAGTGAGTATGGCAATGGCCTCAGGATGCGCTCAGCAAAAGGTGACTTCCACGAGCTGGAGCCCTGTGTTTACTACCATCCTGGGCGTAGGAAATTTCTGGTTGGCTAAGAGTAAGACATCTCTTCGTGCTAAATGACAAATGTTTTGGATTGTTACGTTTGTCATTAGCCAGCCCATAATAAGTATAAGAAATAAGGAGCAAATGTACCTGCTCTTGAATAGGGACACCTCAAGGGCAGAAATGAACACCATCTGAAGGGACTTTCAGAAAGAAAGTCTTCTCTGGGTCCCTGGCATTATCTTCCTATGTTCAAAGAAATTCAGGTGCTAGATGGCAAATGGTATAAAGGACAACTTTAGACAGTGATTCCAACTATATAAATACTGAAGAACTAATAAAGTGAGATGAGAGAAACTTAAAAATTGATTTGCTCTGATAAAGCAATACTAATTACAGTCATCCATATAAGCTGTTTACCATTTATGCTTAATAACCATACAGGGCATCAATTCTATACCATCATTAAATGTGTTATATTAACTTTGCTCTATGTTTCATTTGATTAAATTAACAAACTCTGTTCTTCATGCTCGCATGTCAGTTTGCTTGTCATAAAGTAAGTAATTTTGCAGATTGCTAAAAAAATAAATAGGGGGAAGGCAGACAGTCTCTGAATGGTGCCTCCTTCTAGCCCTCATTAACAAAGGCTGGGTCCATTGCAAAGAAGCCCTGGGGTTCCAGGTGGGCTTTAATGAGCCCAGGTCCAGGCTAACCAGACTTATTCATGGAACCAAACCTCTGGAAATGCTTTTGAATAAAGCTGGCATCCTAGGGGACTGGGCCAGGCCTGAAGGTCTTCAGAGGATGAGTCCCATGGACTGACCGACTGACTCATGACCAGCCCTAGTCAGACACATGAGCGCCAGGAATGGGGGGCATCACAGTGCTGTTCATACCACTCACACCACTAAACCAGCTCAGGGCTTCAAAAGCCCTGGGTTCTGAACCCGGAATCAGCTCAAATCCTCAGTGTGACCTTGAGCACTCTGACCTCCTTACATCCCAGAGTAGCACGTGCCCCGAGTCCCCACTCCTCCCCACCCTGCCCCGGCACCAGCATGATGAACAAACAAGAGAGCCGGCGTGAAAAGCTTTTGGAACAGCAAAGCCCTAAGTAAATGTAAGGGATTATTTGTTATTGTAATTATTGTCATGGGCTGTGGAGGGCAAGAGCCATTGTCCCCCAAGGGGAGGAAGGTCTTAGCTTCAAGGATAAAAGTGCTGCTGGGTTTGGAAAAGGTGAGAGGCAATCAGGAAGATGAAGAACGGAAAGCTTCATCAATAAAGGCTCCTGTCAGATCCATCTGTTAGAGACACAGGCTGTGTGTGAGCGGGAGCTGCAGGGCCGGAAGCCTGTGTCTGCGGGGAGTTCTGCAGTGGCCACGAGAAGGGTAATCGTGAGAGACACTCTAAAGAGGTCTGCCCGTGTGGCATGTGGCATGCCAGCCCGCACACCATATTCCCCCACCAAAGGAGAGAAGCAACCAATTATGCTTGCTCAGTACATACATCTCTGTTAGCACAATTTCGAAAACCGCTCAGATTGCCCAAAGCACACATATACTTTTTCATCTTCCCCGTGAGAATTTCCCCACCTATTCGAACCCTCGCTGACCCCTTCTCTGAACTCTTAGAATATCAGATGTCTTTAATTGAATGTTTCCTTTTAAAATCCCGAAAAACTGTCTCATCTGGGCTGATGCTGTCTCATCGAGGTGGGGACACTCAGTCATTTTCGTCATCCGCAGGGTCTATGCTCAAAGTGTGAATGCTGAAAATGTGTACAAAATCAATTTAAGACTTGGGATACCTAAATCAGTAGCCCATGGAAAGACCATACTCAGGGAACACCGGATCCCAGAGGAACTGAAGAATTTCAGGGTTGGAAGGTCTGCCTGATCCAACCACCTATTTTCCCAGTGCTAAAACCCTTGCCACAATGTCCCTGCCATGTATTTACCCAAACTAGGTTAGAACACCTCTAGCGATAGGAAACCTGGCTGGATCTCTAAACAGCTCTTTCATCTTTGGAATATTCTGGCTCACAGAAATATGTCTTTCTATGACCTTAGCCCTCCTCTGCATAAAAACCCTTTATATATTTGAAAACAGCATTAAGACTTCAAGGAGTTGCCTTGGGTTTATGCCATGTCTCTTTACTTCCTCCAACCATGGCTCATGGGGATCTTTTTTTTTTTTTGTACATCCCTTCACCTTTCTCTTTACTTTTCTCTGAATGTGCCCTGATTTAGCTTCCTCGAGCCACAGAACCCCCGACGGAATGCCCAGTGTGTGAAGTCTGATTAGCACAGCTTAGAGCTGGACTACGCCTCTCTTGTTCTAGACGCTGCATATCTATTCATGCAGCCTAAAATCACATTAACTTTTCTTGGCAGCCACGTCACAGTTGATGAATGCCGAACCCATTTGTCAAGTAAAACCTCTAAATCTTTTGGTCGGTGTGATTGTTCTTCTTTTAAAGATGGTGCTCCAGGGCACCTGGGTGGCTCAGCCGTTTAGCGTCTGCCTTTGGCTCAGGTCATGATCCCAGGGTCCTGGAATCGAGCCCCGCATCGGGCTCCCTGCACCGCGGGAAGCCTGCTTCTCCCTCTCCCACTCCCCCTGCTTGTGTTCCCTCTCTCGCTGTCTCTCTCTGTCAAAAAATAAATAAAAATTAAAAAAAAAAAAAAAAAGATGGTGCTACTGAATCATATCTCTTCCACCTTGTGCTTCTGTCATTGGCTTTTTGGACACCAGAGCAAGATCTCAGATGTAATTCTATTAGAGTCCATCCATCTTTCCAGCCTGACATTATCTTAATGGATCCCAACTGGTCATCCAGTGTACTCAATGACCTTCCAAGCTTTGTTGGTATTTTACATTTTTAATCATAATGTAAGATAAATAATATATTGTCTTAGTTTGTCAGTTTTGATTATTTAATTCATCTGAGAGTTGTTTAGAAGTGTTTTTATTTTAAATTTTTTAACATTTTCTTTATTTGAGAGAGAAAGAGAGCATGAGCAGAAGGAGGGGTAGAGGGAGAGAGAGAAAGAAGCAGACTCCTCACTGAGTGTGGAGCCTGATGCAGGCTCCATCCCAGGACGCTGAGATCATGACCTGAGCCAAAGTCAGACACTTAACCGACTGAGCCACACAGGCACCCCTAAAAGAGTGTTTTTAATGTAAAAACTACTGGTTTCTAGTTTATTGTAAAAAAAATAGTTTATTAGTAAAAATATATATATTGGTAAGGTATCTACTTCTTAGAATCTATGAACCTTTCCTGTGTAATCAAAAACATTATCACTTTTTGCATAACTTCATGAGAAGCATGTGTATTCTACTGCAGGGTACACAACTCTATATTTA